AGCATGTCATACGCAAACTTCACCCTTTGTGCGAATTACGTGTGCACCCAAGGTTGAAACTTGTGCGGCCAAAGTTTAAAGCTTTCGCACTCACAGTTAAACTTGCGCACGCAAAGTTGAAGCTTGCACCAGGAAGAAGATAGCGCGTGACAGGCCCCAAAATAATTGTCACTGGCTACCGGCCGTAAAAAGATATGCTATTTGTTGTCGTCGGGGCACCTGTGAACCCGTAGTCACATTGCGTGGTCCGGTAACATGATGCGTATTCATGCACTGTTTGTTGATCTCAAACTTGACTAACAAGACACCATTCCGTGATAGCGTTTTTGGCACAACGTGCCGCCGTGAGCCTTTGCCTTGGTGGGGCATAAATCATTGATGTCATGATTTCCAGAAAGTCTTTTCCGGCTATCATGGCTGGCAATTCGGCAATCATACATTAAGCATTGAACTACCACACGGAATGTGTTGGTGTCAAAACGGGAAGCAAAAAAGATGTCGTTGTGTGTGTTTTTTGCTCGAAAAACCCAGCGTCAGCGATAAGGCAGGAACAACATCTGCCTTCGTTGAACACGTGTGCTGCCATCACCCTGTGAAGTACATACATGTACCAGGCTACTCGTAGGAATGATCGTTCAGTCCGCGTGTTTGTTTAAATTTTTAAAGAATCTAAATTTAAGGCTTAAATGTTCAAACAATCAAAAACTGTTTCGTGTTTGATTTTTAATGGAAGGCGATGCCATGTTTGCATTACAGTCCCAAGTTTGAAATGAAAATGAATTGGTTTAATTTTATCATTTTAAAATGAATTGATCTGAAATGGATAAAATTATGAAGTGTCGTTATTTTTCGTTCTTAATTTTTTTAGGCCCCATTATTTTTTATACTTGTTGCAAGTAAATTTTTGTCCTACTTCAAGATATTTTTGTTTTTCAAACTCACCTGCTTGCCCAAAGTACATGTACTTTGCCTCCTTGTGAACCTTGTCATAACATTTAACACAGATGGATTACATGCCATACCAGGCACAAAGTGAAACTACCAAGTGTTTATGAATAAGAAATAGAATTGTTGGTAAGGAATTTTTGTGTCAATTTTATCGCATCTTTAGTTTGCATTGATTGCATGCAGTATGCATGTCGTGACATTCAGAGCAGGTAAAAAAGTAAACACTATTGAAGAATTCAAACTACAAAGTAACAACAAAAAACAATGCAAAATCCAGGACAATTCTGTCAAACTAGCGCATACATGTTGTTCTGTGGTTTATCTTCACAGTTTTATGTCAATGTACAGAGATAGTTTCTATTCATTTATTTACATATGTGGTCTTGGTCTCGGATGGCTGGTCTTGGTCTCAGACGGCTGGCCTTGGTCTCAGTCTGGATCTCGGGTTACTTTTTCTGGCCTGGTCTTGGTCTGTTGGTCTCGGTCTTGGTCTCTTGGACTGCCTGGTCTTGACTACAGCACTGCCCACCATGAGCACTTCAGAATCAATTTGGAATAAATATCATTGAATTGTTCTGCTGTGTCAAACAGCACACACCAATGACAATAACTGATCTGTTTCAAGCAGTTCAAATGAAGTTTGGTTATACTTGTAAATCCTTATGCATAAATATTGAGGCTTTAATATAGATAAACTTGTGCATAATGGTCCCTTCTGTGCAATAGCATTAACATGCTACCTACAGTCCTACACTAATGCGCTCATCATAAGCTGCACCCTTGTTTGACCTTGGTACCCGGGTAGTCCCTGATTAATTTTTCACAATTGCTGAAATATTCACAGTGAGCTCTGTTACCTTACCAGATACAAGTAGTTCCGGCATATTAGAATATCACACGTTATAAACACAGCATGCATAGTGCACCCACCCGTGGATTTAAAAAAAAAAACCCAATTGGACCAGTGTGCAAATTTTGCTGGTTGCCAGCCAAAACCTACGTGTATGGTGTTCTTCACTTGGTTCAGTCTAGTTCCCTACTTGTATTTTTGCTTATTCCTGGTCATTTTTGCCGATTGGCATTTTCTCCAACTAGTTTTTGGTATGGCTGTGATCTCCACCATGGCTCTCTTTTACTCCATTTCAAAACACACATGCTGCAGGATGCATACCGGCGTATCTGCATAAGGCCCAGTTTGAAAAACTTTGTTTTTCAAGATCTTTGGCCCCTCTGTAATACAGAACCCAACTTGGGAGTCTTTCTGTTCAGATGAAGTTTTCACAGCCTTGCAGAACCAGAGATTGAGTGGGTGCCAGGGTCGCAGCCGCGTTTTGTGAAAATTCCCCAATTTGCATAGTGTTATTCACTCAAGTAACCTTTGACCCTACAGGGTGGTCCCTTCAAACTGGAGTCTCCACATCTCAGCAGATTTAACCGCTCTTTGTGGCTGACATCGGTGATAGAGGTAGACAATGGCAAAGGTGTGTGGAACCTTGCAAGTTGGGAACTTTTTCTCCAGGAACTTGTTCCTTATGAACCTTTTTCAGTTAAAATTACTGTCACTCCCACGTAACAATCATTTCTAAGAATCTTTGCTCCCTTAAAACCTCCTGCCCAAGTCCTAATTTCAGTATTGCTTGCTATTCAGTTAGAAATTGAAGCTCTTAACATTTACGGAAAAGCAGTAGTCAGTGTCACTGTAAACTGTCTTGCTTATGGACACATTTTCAAATACATTTGCTTGCCATTTTGGTGGGTTTAAATTCATGACCACATTGTGTAAATACATGGCTAGAAATTAGTGCTTTCTCAGACTTTCCTGAAATCGATTGCTGTGGTTGTAGGTGAGAGCTTCCAAAAAACCTTCAACGTCAGTATTGAAATCCGTGGGTTAAAGGAGGACGACAGTGTGAAGCCCATCAGTAACATTTTCTTCAACCACACCAGAACGTTGTCATGTGAAAAGGTCAGTGGAACTGCTCGCAAAACATTTACAGCCCAAACTTTGTTATATGGTGACATGATTTGTGTTCCGGATACCTAATACCTGACCAAAAGAAGGTTGGTACCCAGTTCCAAATTTTGTGGGGAAGGGGGGAACTTTACAAGACCTAGGGTGGAATCTTAATTGTTTATTTGCAAATCATTGGCCTTGATTTCTTTACGCTGATGCCTTGTGGTCCTTTGAAATCATTTTTCTGAAAGTCATATGCTTCATACTCGTGAAATGGCCGGGTTTCCAAGACAGGTAGGCCAAAATTCTGACTTTTCCAAATGACACACACTAACCAAATGCTCTGGCTGGGATGTAATAAAATATGAGCGTTTTCAACTGAATGAGCACAACAAACCCTGAGATGGTTTGAGTTGAAACTCATACTGGATATCATGTGTTTACATGCATACTAAGTTTCAACAAGATTGGTCATGGGGCAGCAGAGACGAGGTACATGTAACACAAAACACATCCAGTCTTTTTTAGAGTAACTCCTTTGCAAAATCGGGGGGGGGGGAGAGAAATTGTAAACACTTTGCATCTTCTTATTGTTGACAAACAGAGAAACTAGGGCAACACTCGGGTGTCGTTAGTCCTTGATGCCTAGTACCAACATCAAGCCCTGGCAGATTTGTAAAATGGCTCTTTCGCAACCCATAGGCCTCTATCTCGGGGCAGCCATCTTGCTTTTCTGCCATTCAGAACAATCTAACCAAACTGAGGCCAGAAGGAAAAACAGTCTGTTCCCTCTTATCAATATGTGAAGTTGTATGAATGTTACTTGAAGGGGATACAGGGAATGAGACAAAAGTGGCGCATCACGATAAAGGTCTTTGCCAGATGGGAAGGCGAGTCGCCCCGGGTAAATCTTCATTTGGCTGAAAAGCAAAACGCTCCGCTTTTTTCTCTCTCTGCCTTACATATGGAGCCTACAATTCTGTTGATAGTTTCCTCCAATCTTATCGGCTTCTTTCAGGGGGAACTTTGCGAAGAATTGCTGCTGCTTCACGTCAGCCCCGTAAAGTACTATTCCTACGTGATCACCGTCTACTTCCAGGGGCTGGAGAACGCAAAGGTCACAGAGGTCAGCTTCAAGGTAAGCCCCCTTGCTCAGCCAGTTACAGCTGTTTAATTCATTTACTTCTAACTTTGTTAGGGACATGGCAGTAGGTTGTACCTGTTCACTTCTGAAGTATGCAGTTAGCTTTACGTCTCTTAGATATGAGTTGACATGTAAGTCCAGTGTTTCCGTTATAATCCATACATATATGTAGACCTTCATATGATTTATAACTCGATTTATAATTCGATTTATAACTCGATATGTAAATTTAAAGTTTTATGAGTAAAAAAAGGTGTGCGCTCAACTTTTAACTGAACACACGCCTTATAATGTGGCATTATTGAATTATCATTCAAATGTTAAAGGGGCCATTTCTTTCACCTTGTAACTAGTAAAGCTTAACATTTACTAGACAAAAACTGCATCGTTGTTGAAAAGTCTTAAGTATCAAGTCAAGTCTCTGATTGGGATGCGCTTTCTCTCCTGACAGTTCCGTACGTACAATCCCTCCTTTTGTGAGATGGAGATCTGGTTCCGGTTCGTATTCCTGGTCCTGTCCTTCATCATCACGGTAGGCTCATTAAATGACTGCCTAAAGTTACCTTTGAGCCCCAAACCCCAAGATTTCAGAGACAATCCGCTCTGAGCGGGAACAACAGAGGGTGTGGTTTTAAATGAAATTGACAGTCCTTTGGTATAAACTCACCGCATAGATGTGCAAGTTGATGCGTGTTTGACGTGGAGCACGCCGAGCACACGCTACAAATTTATTGTGGACTATACAGTCTATGCATGCACCCCAAACACGTGCAAGAACCCGGTTGGAAAACTCAGTAACAGTCTGTCTGTCTTTTGCTGGTGGGAGTCCATTTCAGCTAAGGGCGGATCCAGTCAAACCTCATAAGAGGTTTTCAGACTTTGCAGATTATCTTGTCATAACAGGCACCTTGTATTATCAGGAATGAAAACAATGAAGAACAAAGGATTTTGATCTGAAAATTTATGTGTTATAAGCAAAAGATTGCATTAACATTGCTCTTACAAACAAGGTTTGACTGAACATAGAATCTTAATAATATAGCACGGTACAGGTTAAATAACTACCGCATGAAGTGTTGAGTGATATTAAACTTACCAAGGAAAAGTCAGTTGGGGACTGTTTCAAGTGGGCGCTTCGTGCCTCTTCAGAGAGGATACTCGTGCATTCCAGTTAGAGGTGGTTGTACATGCTCTGCCCCACACAAGCTTGTTGTTTGTGCATGAACCTAAATGTACAGACCGTATTTTGCCCCTCGGGGATGTCAGTGTTTTGTTTTTAACAAAGTTCCCATATCGCGTCTCCCATTTTAAAAATGTACATTAGCTGCATAGTTCCACAGTGTCCAGATGCATGTACTTTGGGAAAATGTACATTGTCCTCAAGGCACAGATTTCGCCAGAAGTGAGTCAGTTGGTGGTGTCTTGTTTTTCATTGACAGTGTATGTTCGCCCACTCCTTGAGGAAGTTTTCCATGCGGGACTGGTCTATTGAACAGAAGTGGTTGTCCGTCTTACTACCTTTTCTTCTTCTATACAACGGTAAGCTTTTCGAAGTAACACACAAAACACGGAAAGCCTCCCCCTCCCCAAAAAAGCGCAAAGTCAACGTTGCTGAAAAATCACACAACACCTCACGGAAATTCAACAGATAACCATCTGAGTCGTGCTGCAAAAGTCTTGCACCTGGAATGATGGTACGTTCAAGATAACAGAGATTTGGTTAGATTTTCAAACGATCACCTATTTGGCAAAATGACTCGTTTGAAATACTGCATCCATTAATGGGTGCCTACGTCATTGACTGCACACATTCATTAATCAAGCATGCAGGAATGGCCTTTTGGTCCGTGGGGTTTTTAAATTGAAGCTTTGTTTTCATTGTTTTTTTCACATTGTGAACATAAAAAGTGAGAGAGGTCCGTGGAATTAAAACCCCCAAATCTGTTGAATTTGTAAAATTGCAGCAAAAGCAAATGTTATCGGCATGTACTAAATTTTGATAATGTTACATATCGACGCCAGAGAGCTGACAAATAGGCCAATGTACTGATCAGATCGCACTTTGTTTACATTTGCACTTTCTGATGGGGCCAGCGGGGGCCCATGGTCTGCTGAGCACCATAGGAAAGCACACACATGAACAAAGTGTTGCATCATGGATTTACGCCTTCGTTCGCAGATCCGATCTTCCCTCTCAATTTCTTGGTGGATTCCTGGGTGACGATCATCCTTGACAACATCTTCCAGACAACGTTTCTCTGTGCCCTCCTGCTCTTCTGGCTCTGTGCCTACCACGGCATCAGAAAGGTACGGCCAGACATTTTTCTCAACATTTTTCTTTTACTCGCTCTTAATTCTCTTGTGTTGGTGCCAAAGCTAAATTTGAACTGGGAACCAGTTGCACATTATATGCAGCACATGAGATTTTGGTTGGTAATCTGTTTTTCGTTTGGCAGGTGTTTTTCGCACTCGATACATTTGATTGCTTGCCGTATGTATTTTTCACACATTTTTAATATCATACACGTATTTGTGTATAAAGCCGGGCTGGTTTTGAGGTTTTGCTACATGAGAAGTGCCAAGCTTTTGTTCTTCATGTACATCATATCACCAATATCAGAATGGGCGCATAAATTCCTTTGACATGTTCAATATTGCCTCGGTCTCTTCCCAAGTAGTCCACGATCAGCCTGTTCAAAATTCTAAATTTGTCCCAATTTTCATATTGAGGAAACACCAAATGTGTCAACTAACTTGCTTCTAAACTTAGCAGATTCCCACTGCACATTATTGCTTTCTTTATTTAAACCCTAATTTAGTACACCAGATGGAGTTTGAATTTCATTAAATCTTGTTGGATTGAGCATGGCCAGGGTTAATTCTGCTGACAAAATTGTGATGCCTTCAGCTGTTGACTTTGTGAAATGAGATAATACAGATAAAGCCGTGAAGTATGCAGCCATAACCCGTCTTTCAAATTTATCCAACTCGCCACTACAGTGGAAACAAATTAACAGAAAGTGGCAAACTGTTTTTTTAAATTTCGTTTGTAAATCAAGCCTCAAGGGGTTCATTCATATTCTAAATCAGCATGATTCTAAAACCAGACGCTGCAACATATGTTGAACATACCCAGTACGTAACGTACGTACGGAGTACGTAAATTTGATGGTATAGTCCAGACATGCACACTTTGTTTACCAAGAAGCCAATGAAGCATAACACTAAAAATAATGAACCGGGGTGTATTATTCAACCCCCCCTCCCCTGTGGATGGCTAAAAATAACCACGTAGGCTCCCCCAAGGTTACAAGCTTGTAATTACACCATGAATAAGTAATGACTAGACTCCGGTTGAGTGTGATATTGTGTCTTTTTTTCCACCAGATGCCTGTGAGGTTTTCTCTGTGTCCTTTTGTTTTTCCACTTCGCTTTTTTCTTTTTCAAGGCTGCCAACAAAATCAGAAAATACTTTCATTTGAAAATTACTTGAATTGATTTGGTAGAAAGAAATCCTTGTATTTCTCGTCAGCCGTAATGCTTGGTCATGGTTATGACTACAGTGTCTGATTTTATCCAATTTTCCAAATTCAAATACCTTGCAACGATATTTGCATTATCATTGAGAAGAAAATTCAGATCAAATCTGCAATGCCAATCGCATGGTTTACTTTTTATAACAAGCAGGATGTAAGTTAGAATTACACGACCCGGTTATTTTATTTTCTAGAGTGCTGTTTTCTCTTTTCAATTGCCAGTGCTTATGATATGCTGACTGTTTGCAGTTTGTTTTCTTTTGTTTTTTGCCGATAACAGTTTGTCCACATTTACCTCGGCAATTCACTGTGCTCGGCTGAAGAATTCACTCGTGTTTATTTCTGAATGTGACCCTTTTTTTTTTTTTCAAGGATTATGCAGTTAGCCCTTTTCGCTTTTGGAAATTCATGGTATGTTTGTTTGCAGCTTCACATATCACATAGCCACGCGATGTCATTGCATGCCTAGTACCTGTAGTCTGTCTGCCGTGATTTTCAATTGACCCTGAAATTTGTGCGGTCAATTGATTATTCTTTTTCTGCACACTTTGATTCGGAAGCAGATTTGCTGGTAATTCACCGTAAGCAACTTCAAATGTTGACATGGACAAGTCGGTAGTGACTTGAAGAGATCAGGCCCAAATCCTTCAATGTGCCGGGTAATTTAACTTTGTGGTTGAATGGTCTGTGAGACTTAATGGCACCGTTTATTGATACCGCAGGAAATAATGCTGGCAAAACAGCTCTGGACTGGCAAACCACCCACTGTCAGCAATATTTAAACAGTGACAATAAGTGTACTTAAATTGATCTAGGGTTGTTACATAAATGCTTTAGAAGTGTGATATGTGAAATCTCGGTGAGTTCTGAGTCTATTATCCTACAGTGAACGTAAATGTGAAACAATTTTGGCTCTTTAACCCTAACCCTCCTCAGTCCTCCAACAGGTGAAGGATTGAGGAGGGTTAGGGTTAACAGTCTTGCTTGTCTGTACGATATCCCAAAGTATGCGCATTTTCAAACGTCAGACTCGAGAGATATCAGCAGCCATTTTCTGTAGCAGTCGAAAGCCACCGCAATGCCCAGTCACTCCCTGTAGAGCACCATGTCATTATCCATACCAAAAACTCAGCTTGTAAATGTCAGGGACGTGATATGCTCCGTTACACCTGTGTATTAGAGGTAGATGCTTTAGTGTAGCACGCTGCTTGTACCAGCTTGTGAAGATGTCTGGATGAGATTTGAAAAAGAAATGTGAATCCTTCTTGTTGATTTGCCCGCATCCTCTGCACCGTTTTCCCCACTGTTTTGTGCACATCCTCTCAAATGCAGCTCTCCTTTGTGTCTGTGCTCAAAGTGTGCGCGGTTTTTTGTGTGTGCTGTGCTTCCATTTGCAAACGTGTAGTACTTGCACAGACTTTTCAATTTCTTGTCAAACTGTTCAATACGGCCGTTTCACAATAGTGCACCACCAAGAGTTTGCAATGCGTTGGCCAATCACAATGCCCGAAATTTGTCGACCCAATGCGCGTTTGGAAAGGGTCGACAAATTTCGCGCATTGTGATTGGCCAACGCGTGGCAAACTCTTGGTGGCGCACTAATGTGAATCGCCCGTATTGCGATTTGCCAAAAGGTGTTCTGAATGAAGAGCAAACTTAGTCATGACAGTCCATGAGTGGGAAACACGAGTGACAAAATCCCTTGTTGTCAGCCCGTTGGAATGGAAGTGAGACGATTCCCTCGATTTATTTTGGATTTAGAATATAATCTAAAACGGTCATTTGTGAGTGAGGCCCGTGACACAACCAAAAGAAAGTCATAATGAGTCCAATTGGTGTTCTGGCACCAAGACACCCACAGCAGTGACAAATAGGAAGTGAAAGATTAGAACATACAATGTACCAAACCTGCCAATCTCACAAAATGAGCCGTAAGGCCATTTTTCCTCCAGTGATTCTGTTTAGTCGGAATTGGAACATTCAAAACTTAGCTCTTTGTGTTGATGCATCTTAAAATGGACATCATGGGGGTAATGTTAAGGATTCCTTTTCATGTATGCCATGCAAGATTCATGCAGCGTTGCCTTTGAGGCTCAGTAGACACTGCATAGAATCCTGGATGTGGCACGGTTAAGGTGAATTTATAATGAAAGCCGTTTAATTAGTGGCCGTTAACTCAAAAGTGACTCTAGGGTTAGGGTGCCTAGAAGTACAGGGTTCCTAAGTTGATGGAAAATCCTGAGAAATAATGGGGAAAAAAGTGTCCCAGAAAGTCTGAGGAAAGTCATAGAATTTCAGTTTTCATGTTTCTGTGGGAATCTGAAGTAGTTTTCCATTATGCCATGGTGGGGTGGGGGTGCTTTTGTCACCAAGAGAAACGAAAAATAAAAGAGGGAGGTGAAAAAAAGAAAACGAAACCAAGGAGAAAGAGGATGGAAATCACAAATTTGCTTGAAAATAACCTCGGAACTGTCCCTCTTCCACTGATGATTGTTTGTCAGTTTGCAGTAAGGGCTGTGCCCTGTTTTTCCCCCCGCAAAAGAAGTCTGTCTGGCGATGCTCGTTCTTGGTGTCCCAATTTGACTCGATTCCTGTCTAATTCCATTGGCACGCAGAGCGATAGGAAGTGGCTGTACTTCTACCTACCCAAGCTAATCCTGGTGGGTGTCATTTGGGTGGCGGCCGTGGTCCTGGCCTGCTGGTCACAGTACCGCACCCTCTATGACCCCACCTTCAACTACAAAGTGGACGGCGGCAACTTCCTGGTGAGTTTAGCGAGGTGTCGGCCCACTGGGTGTTCAGAAACCCTTTTGACGCCCTGTAGGTCTTTTCTGAGGCTATGCCTCGTTATGAAAATACGTACGAGAGAAGTACATGTGCATGTGTAAGTGCAAAATTTTAGCAGCTGGGAGGCCCTTTTTTCAACTCAAGGCATGTTTAGATACTTAGGCTGTATAGGTGCTAGGTCTAGGTCTTTTCTCCATTGAAAATATGCGGAGATGCACTGACAGTAGACACGGCAATAGCTCTTGTAGCCTGTTTTTGGATAGGGCCTCAATTTGGACCAGTTAGGGGAATGGCAGGATTTTTCCCACATGCCACCCAAGGCAGATGATGTGTGACCTTTGTTTTTCACGCTCGATGAGGACTCAGTCAAGTCAGGGCTGCCGTATATGTCTTAAAAACCCACTTCTGATCTCGTTGATGAGACCAAACAAAATTAACTCGTCAACTTCCAGAGTCTTACCCAAATGAGTTTGCACAGGTTCACTCTTTTACTCAAACAATCTGGCCTTTTGTGATTTCTAATCGGGTTGAGCTTTTCCAATACTAACAGTGCCATCATTAGTCTCTTCTCCAGTCCATTATCTCAGAGTTTATTGCCATGATTCGATTTAAACGAGTCTCGTTTTCTGTCATATTTCTTTTCGATACAGGGCCTTGTCATTTTCTTCTTGTGTGTTGGGAGCCTGTACCTTCTTTACCTTGTGTTCCTTATCATCAGAGCCTTCACCGAGCTGAAGTCACTCCCTTACATGAGTGAGTTATTATGCCTTTAAGAAAAAAAAAACCAACCCAGACATTATGAAGAAGGGGACTTGACTGTCACCTCAAACGCCCTGATTGGAAGTCAACAGATTGTCAGGACGAGTATAATTAGGAAAAAAAAGTTACGCTTAAGTGGGTAATTTACTTCTCTTTCAACTGGGAGGTCCCTTGTTCGAATCCCAGGAATCGTAAGGACTTTCCCATCAAAGTTTTCAGAGAATTCGGGTCACTGCCCTGCATAATAATTATAGTCGACTATTCGGAGTGGCACGAAGGTGCCACTCGGTGTCTCGCCTGACTTTAAAAACTCAAAGGTCCTTTGTTTGGAAATCATTATGACTGTTCCTCATCAGAACTTGAAGGCCCTCCTAGATGGTACACTTGGCCTTCAAGTCAGAGGTCGTTGGTTCCAATCCAAGGAATCATGACTATTCCTCATTGTCAAATCCAGGAGGCACTTAAACCTACTTGACCCTCATACCCTATACTTGACCCTCATATCAGAAGTCTGCTGTTCGAATTCAAGGGACCCTTGTCTTCAGAGTTTTCACAAAGCTCAAATCACTCTCTTGTTGCACGTAATGTATTTCAGTGAGTGGAAGTCCTCCCTGTGTTTTCTCTTCAGATTTGCGATTAAGGTTTATGACTGTTCTCATGCTGTTTGTCGTGGCTGTGTGGTAAGGAAGAATTTTTATTCATTGATCTTGGAATACCAAAATGCAAAGTATTTTAGCAGTGTTATAATCAAGCGCATCACAAATTCTTGCAAGTCCAACTCAACTCATCCTGTCTTAAATCTAACCCCCAGCCTACTTTGGCTAGAAACCCTGCCAGATGCACCAGACTGCATCATTTGTCAAAGTGGCTTGCCTGCCCAGTGGAACCAGATCCAACAGGTCAATTCTCCCCCAAGGCCAAACACCTTGGGAGTCTGTGGTTGCCAGTCACCACAAGATCCAACAGTGGCATTGTTCAATGGGACTAGCTCCCACTGTCTCAACATGGTTAGCTTGTGTGGCTGCTGTTGTTTGCCCAGTGCATGAAAGTGCATCCGACTTTTTCCTCTGATGGACTGTGCTTCGTCTGGCAGGGTTAGGGTTAAGCTAAGTCACAAGTTGTTCAACTGAACTGCAATAAGTGGAGTGGAGTGCCATGGCCTTGTGGTTAAGAGTATCGGATTCGCAGTCAGCGGGTAAAGCCGCAGGTTGTGGGTTCGAATCCAGCCTGGGGTCATGGTGCGTGTGCCCTTGGGCAAGGCTCTTTGTCACTCCTTGCCTCTCTCCACCCAGGAGTAATTGGGTACCTGTGAGGGCAGAGATGGTTATTGTAGGTGATTAAGCCACTTTGTGCCAAATAGTGGCCGCATCGAGCTGTATACTGCCCAGGGAGCTGAGATTGTATTTGGTGTGTTTGGTGGGCTCAGTGAACTGGGGTAACAATCTTGTATCTATGTTAAAGGTTCTTTATAAATACCTTTATTATTATCATAATAGAAGAATTCCACTGCCATTGTTCCCCTGTTTAATACCTGTGACTGATCTTAGGACAGGACTTGTGAAAAGACTTCTGATGGAGTCTGCTACAATCCAGGGAAATGTTTTAGGGAGTCGAATTAAACATCCAACCTATGCTCAGTCCGACCCTTTTTTTGTTCACAATTTTGTTTTGAACAAGTCATCCTTATACTTTGATCATTGTGGGTTTATCAGTGAGAATATTCCTAAGTAAACTTGTGATGCCATACTTTTTTAGAAAAAAGTTCATTGCCGGCAGCTTTGCACGTACCACCATGTGAAATGTGACTGGCCTTATTGATATACGTACTGAGGCCAAAAATAAAATGTTTGGGGACAGAAATTCACAGAAATTGCCTTTATGTACAACTGAATGACAGTGTTAATAACCCCAATGTCTTTGTTTTCTCCAGCGTTGCTGTGGTGATCATGAGGTTTGGCATCGGCATACTCCAGAACAACTTCATTTCTGAACTTTCCACGTATTACAAGAACTATATCCTTTGCAGAACAGAAACCATAGATGTTGTGTTTTATCGACTTGGAAGAATGAAGGCTCAGTAAATAAATGTACCCCATTCGGATTGTTTGTTCACGTTTTTTGAACAATTTCTTTCAAATCTGAAACAAAATCCGAATCTTCCAGAATTGGAAAACTGGCTTTTCAGTTTTTGTCAAGACTTTACTGCCCAGCTACTGTTGCACGGGTGTGTCTCCAGTTTTTTTTAAGTAAAGGAGCGGACCATTGGTTCTCTACTTTAGGGTTTTGGAGAAACCGGAAGGCTTCCTATCAAAGCTGTCCACTAGTTTACTGTTATAAATTGATTTGATGTGCAGTTTTAAAATAAACAAAACAACTACTAGACCAGTCTTGCAAAATTGTTGCTAACTGTTTACACCCCTTCTACCATTTGCCTGCGTCTCCAGAAGGCGGCAGTACTTTTTCAGTGTTTTTTTCCTTAACTGCCAAGTACCAGCTGAATTCCTGGCCTTCTACAGTCTTCTTAACTTTTACCTGTACACGATGGCCTTCGTCTATTCTCCATCCAAGAATGCCCACAAAGGTAAGTCAGAAAGAACCCAAGAAGATATCAACTTTGAGGCATTCTATTATTCATATGCATCCCCACCTGATCTCACATTTGTTTTTCAATTTGAAGTAGCTCCGCCATTGCGGATGTTCTTAGTAATCCTCTACTCAGTCACAAATTTGCCCGCACCAGCTTTCTAAATCCATTTGTTTTCCCTTGCAGATTCATACTTCAAAGATAACCCAACCTTTTCCATGCTCAATGAATCAGAAGATGAACTCATCTATGGGTAAGTTGTTCAATTTCTAATCGAAAACCTATTCACTGAATTTGCAAAATAGTTTCTTCCCTGTTTGCAGAACATCTTTAATTACTTTCCCAACTTCTACAACCTTTCCAGCTCAGACAGTGATGACAATGCCGTGACGAGACCACTCCAAAATGGCACTTCCTACCAGGAGAGTGAGGATGAGTAGTTATCATGGTAACAACCTTTGAACTTTACACAGCGTGTGCTTCCAAGGGTGAGAGAGCTATTGAAGTTGCTGCACTGGGCTCCGTTGTGGTAGGGAACCAGTGTTCAACCATTCAGTAGAATTGAATAAAGACACTGGTACCCGGCCTTAATACAAGTACATTAGTACACCAGAAGGATAGACTGCATATAAAGTAACATTGAATTCCTTTGCAAAGCTGAGACAGTTAGATTACATAACAACAGTACTCATCCATTCCAGTGAAAAAATTTGAACTTTATTTTGCTTTCCAAAGAAAATTTTTTAAGAATCTAAAATTTGCGCAAATAGTTTTTCGCATCATATAAATTTGTAGAATTTAGGGATTGGTGATGAGTTTCATTTCATTCGGAACTGGTTGTCAAAAGGTAAAAAAAAGATAAAATTGGCTTGATGATTGGATCCCCGACGAGCTATTTGACAGTTTTCAGATGGCCACCATAAGTTTTCCACTGCAAAACTGAATTGTAACTGAATTGATATCTTTATTAATCATGCTTAAACCTGTTATTTTTTTATTAAGGCCCACAAAACACAAATACATAAAAGCCATTTTCAGTCACACTCAACTCGTGTTACCTTAAAAACATACACATCCAAAGATTTTGAAAAGTGCAAAGACCAATTGGATAGAGCAAATCGAATTGCTCTCAAAAGTCTTCTTTGCCCCAGAGGCCCTGTGCATCGTGTCTGCATCATAAATCACTCAAAATTATGATTGCAGTAATCAAAATCACCGGAAGGTGTTGTAAGACAAGGGATATTGATCAAAAGCCTTGCATGAAATAAGTTATGTATACATTCTTTAATAACGTGCATGCCTTTTGTTTGTTTTGACAAAATATGAAATGTCATTGTGCTTATATTTGGTTTGATTTGGTTCACTGAAACTTTTTTGGGGGTCATTTTTAAGGGGTGTGTGGTTTTATGTGCGTATACTGCGCGTTGTGTATTGCACTTGTGTGTAGCAGTGGCTAATGTACATGCAGATGCAGACGTGATTTAACATTGTGCAATAGAGGGTTTGCTCTTGGCCGTTTTTGCCGTGGATTCACCAATCAGCACCCGGGAATAGAGCCTGTGCAGATCTCATACGGCTGCTGGAGTTTCAGCGCGTGCGTGCCTAGGCCGAAGTCCAGTCTGCCACAGGTCCTGGCGAGGCCGTGAACTGTGACAAAAGTTGTCCTTCGCCATGGTTCACCTTGTGACTTATGACTCCGGGCATTGTGATGGATTTAACCACAGCCCTGGTACCTACTTGCTGTCACTCGGAATCTGGCTTCATAACATATTTCATGTCATAAAGATAAGTCTACAAGTGCATGTATAATGTTTGACCTTAAACATCCCTTAGAACTGAGTGTAACAATTGTAAAGTCATGCTTTCTTTTAGAAAAACAGGGTATAGTTGATTTTAAGAAAGGACAGTTTTTCTGATAATGAAAACTGATTCTTTTATGCTTGAAGCTTTCTCCAATTAATACAAAGACTGATTTTATTGAATGTCAAACGTCTTTCTTTTGGTAGTTATCAAAGCCAAGGTGCACATGAATTGAAATTCATGCCGAAATCATAGGCCATTGATTAAGTCTGCTGGGTGAAGGTCTTTTGCGGTCGATAACAGGTGGGCGTATGCCCGCAACAGACACAACCAAAACCACAGGTTTGAAAGCCTGTCTGGGCCACAGCCTTTCTCTGCCCTTGAATTCGAAGTGGAAAGCGCCCTCTTCTGACTGAATCAAACTCGGTTTCTTTTGTATACTTTTGCTGTAGGAAGGGAGCCCTCTGTAGATCTTTTTTTGTAATGAAATGTATACCAAGTTTTAATACTGGATCATAATTAGTGAATTTTTGTGCGTGTCACAGTTTATTTTAGGTCGAGTTCGGGCGGCCTGTTCTTGACACGGGTTTCTTGTTCTCGCGCTCGAATGGCGGGAACACGACTCGGGAACACTGTTCTCAGAACAGAATCACACACCACCTCCTCGTCAGGGTTTTACAGGAACACGCGGAAAACCTCGTGATTTTGATTTTTGAACAGCTGCAACAAGTAGAGAGATGGCTTCCAAAGCCATAGACAATGGGAAGTTTTGCAAAATTAACATTAATTATTTTCCGTAACACGGAAATGAATGTTCCTGTTTATATAGAAAAGAATTCATTCCATCCAAACATTAACTCTCGAATAACGTAGCCTACATGGACGCCGCCATGTTGCTTGTCACTAACTACCAGCGATAACCGGTTGTTTGTTCCTGGCGTTCGAGCGGCCGACAAACGAACAACAAATCGAGCTGTATACAGGATCAGGAACAAGCTGCCCGAACTCGGCCTTACAGTCAGTACTCGAAAGGCCTCACTGAGTATTTTGCATGTGACATGTCATCATTGAAGTGGCCTCTAAGGTCGACCGGGAGACACAGACATTTCAGACTCGCGTTGCCTAAGTTCGGGCGGCTTGTTCTCGTATGTTCAGGAACAGCTCGAATTGTTGTTTGTGGGTCGGCCGCTAGAACGTTGGGAATATACAACCAGTTATTGCTACTACATATAGTCACTTGTAGCATAGATGCAACATGGCGGCGTCCTTGTACATTCTTCGAGAGTTAATGTTTGAGCTAACTTCTTTTCCATTAAAAAAATCATATCTGTCATGGAAAATTATTGATGTTAATTGTGCACAACTTTCCATTGTCTCGAGTTTTGTAAGCCATCTCGATAGTTGTTGCAGCTTTTCAAAACTGAAATCTCGCGAGTTTTCCCGTGTGTTCGCGTAAAACTCTGATGAGGAGGTGGTGTGTGAACCTGTTTTGAGCGCGAGAATGCGAAACCCGTGTCAAGAACATGCCGCCCGAACTCCATGCAGTAAAAGAGCACAACCAACTTGTTTCTTAATGTTGTTTGAATGAAGTGACAATCCTGCACAGTACGGAGCCTTGTAAGTGCCACCTCACTTGTTGAGATCCTGACATATTTTAGCTCAAAATGACCACATATAACAGGCAAAACGTCGGCACCTATGCCACATATGATGACGTATCACAGGCGAGGTGTAATGCGAAAAAAGAAAATTTTGAGTGATTCACAAAAGGGAACATTTGAAAGCACTCTTTAAAGTAATGAGGTGTTGCCCTTAGAAACTTCACACTTTTTTTGTTTAATTGTACAAAACATGGGACGTTTTTCTAAGTTGTTCTTTGCAGTACCCTATGTGGCCCATCCCGACCTGATCTGCCCCCCCCAAATATCTAATGAAATTGGGTTTATCTTTGTTGTAATGGGAAAATTTGAGACGCTGGTGGCAGCTGACATAGCGCACTGGTCCCTTTTCAAGGTAATGCGTGTGCTCGGGACTGTGCATGCATGCGCAGAACAACGCGTGCGTGCTCAGAACTGGTAAAAAGGACCGGTATGCTTGTCGCCACCAAGCGTCTCAAAGTCTCCCATTGAAGTCAGTTTTACTTTGTTGTAGCTTGTAGCAATAATATCGCCCACAGATGCAATAATGTATATGACTACTGGTGTATCACTGTATGCAGGAAGTTAACCTTAATCTGTAAATGGACGTAAATTGACTGAGACCTTTTCTCTTTCCCTTGCTTATATTGTGACCCTTCATACCAATAAAGTTCATGGGCAGTCGTTTTCTTGGAGATGCACGTTAATTTAGCGTTAGGACACCAAGGATTTTTAGTAAAACTTCAACATGTATGCACTGAAACTGTTAGGCCTGTAAAGCCGACAGGGCACACGTTTTTCACCCGTTAGCAGAGCCCTGAAAACGTGTTTTAATACCCGAAAACGCGCACTCAATTGTTCATACCTAAATGGGAAAGTTCTTGATCGCAGGTATTAAAATGAAAAGTTAATTAAAGTCTGCGTGTGGAACGTTTTAGACCGATAATTGGCGGCAGAGTTGCTAAATTTGCAATGTTTGTATCAGTGCTCTGAAAAATACTTGATATTAGGCGCTGGAGACGAACTCTTCAGGTTTGTTTTGGAAGCAAAAATAACCAAATGTCTACTTCATGTTTAATTTCTCAAGGGTAATTCTGAAATTATTCATAATTCGGACGAATGGTTCTAATTTAACTGAAATTATCATCTAGAATGATTTTGGGGTTTGGGGAGTGAAAAAAAGTATATTTGTTTAAGATTGTATGTTTACAATTAATGCGTTTTGATCAACCGAATTTCTTTTTCTGGTTGAGTCTATGTAATCATTTGTGAAGGCCGGTTCATACTTCGTGCGAATTTAAGGGAAAACGAACACAAATCTTTGACGCCAGATCAAGTATTCACGTAGCAAATTCGAAAAAGTCCAACACCTATCAACTCGAGAGCGATTCGCTAGCGCTGCAGATTGATTTTTCGTGACGTCAAATTCGCTGTCGCATTCACCTGCAGTATGAACCGGCCTTTGGACTGTGTGCAAATCAACCGGCAGCGGCTAGGAGCAACGCATGTGTCTGCGGGAAGCAGCTGTAGCCGCTATTCAGACATACGTGTTGCCGTCATCCGCAGCAGCCTTGGACCTTTTTCAAATCGACACATTGACCGTTGACTATGAGTTGTTGAGTTGGAAACGAAGTGACAACTCTTCGTCGAGTGACAGCGGAGATGAGGGGGAAAATGACTTGTAAATACGACTGAAAATGCGACTATGAAATATTCACTTGTAAATAAACTTGATGGTATTCAACTATAATGTACTAATTATTTGTATAATTTTGAAATTGTTAAAAATGTTTAAGTTTTTCCTGTGTTGTGTAGATACTGTAGATTAGAGTTCTTAACAAAGTGGTTCGGTTAATTTTTTTGGTTTGGTTTATGGCGTGGCAGTCAAAGTAAACTGGGGTTAACTTATTGGATTATAGTTTGTACTGGATTAGTTTAATTAAAAATAGGGTATTCTGTTTTAAACATTCATAATTGTGTGTGCATTTCTTTGATACGACATCTGGTGAAGCCAAACGCAGTAACAAGAAAAAGAAAGAGATGGCGGTGTATCTTCCTAAGTGCCTCCAACACACTGCTCCAAACCTTTAAGACTTTTCGTATACTCAGCGAGAACAGACTGCTGGAAGAAGAGAGCATTCGAGCCTTTACGGCATCCGAACTTTGCGGGGAATTCTAATCTCGATGCTGAGTGCATGGTCCAAACTCGTCTGCCGTTTTATTGGGGTTCATATTTGACGCTACACTGAACAGCGCCATGATTTTCGGGACCCTGCCCTGCGTCCGACAAGTGTTGGCTACGTCCGGTGTAGCAGTCTCAGCTGTCTCCCGGTCTCAACGGTCCCCCCTGAATAGCCGGACATTAAACAGACGACTTTCCCGTTGTTGTGCGCAGAGAGGGTATGACGTATTTTACCATTTTGGTAAGGGGGACCGCAGAGACCGCCACACCGGCCGTGACACGTAGTAAAAAACGCGACTTTGTGACGCAAGATTAATACTCGCTAATATTAATATTAATATATAGACACTTTGCTCGTCATCCAGCGCCCGAACGGGGCGCTTGGAAGGGTTGATGGCCTTGCACAGATTTCAGTGAAGGAAATACGTCACACGCGGTCACAGCTAACGACGCGCAGAGCATTTTGGGTAAATTTCTGCCAGGCGCGCGGGCTCGCTCAATGCGTTACACAAGCGGCGGTTATCAATTTGGTATTTCTATTTTTGTTATTGCTGAAAATATTCTCATAATACTTTATTCGTTCTTCCAAACTTAATCAAGATAACCAATGATTTGAAGTATATCACCAAAAGATACATGATCAGCAATACTTAAAAGATACATTTCCACAATGTGGTTTTACCAAGGCCATATTTTTATCATAATAGCTGACGCTTAACCCGTGCCAAAGCATTACCATTGGTGAACCAAAAAATTTAAATAACGCTAGCTTTGCCAAAACAGGTCGTGCACATTGTAGCCAATCACAGAGCATAACCATCAACCCTTCCCAGTGCCCTATTCGGGTGATAAATAAACCATAGACACGTGCGTGGCTGATTGCAATAGCCAATACTGCATAACGCAACCTCGTAGCGAACTTTTTTTGCAGCTTTTGGTGTTTTTAATTTGTTTCCCTAATAACAATTGCGAAATTTTAAGTGCGTTCGCAAAGTCGAAGTAAGTTTCATACCTTTAAATGGTTTTGGATAAAGAGCGCCAGTTACTTAATTCGTCTAAAACTGAATGCTTCAGCAAATTGGACTGCCGGGCAGCCCTTTTGAAGTTGAGATAAAAAGGGTTGAGCTCTGTACTTTTGAAATTCATTTAAATAGTCCCCACACACCCACTTGCCATGACCAACAGAAAAAACAGCACCATATCCAGCTTTTGGTGGGGGGGGGGGGTAAATTCAAAAGCGACTGCTGCTTCAGGCTCATTCAGTATGACTGATGTTTTGGGAGGAAAACAAATCCCAAGTCTTACGATGCCGACGTCCTTGCTTTCATTTCGTGGTATTGTTTTCTTTGAGTGTTGGTGCTATTTTGATAAAGCAATATACCGATTAGTTTCTGTTCTACTTATGTGTAAAGTATTCTCTGTTAATAAACGAATCTATTCCCTGCCCCTGCTAGATACGCCACTGCAGATAAAAATGTAGTGTTGGAACTGACAAAAAGCAACTGAAAACTTCAAGTTCTTATTAAATTGCAAATTTCGGAAACTTATTGGCAACCATAAAAATGCCACACGTATTTCAGAAGTTTCTCAGAATGTCATACCAGATACTTAAGTTACCAATGAGCAAGCACCATTTCCCGACACGCACACGCTCGGTCCTTGGAGATTGGATCAATCTCCATCGATCTGTTTTCGATAGAAAACTAGCGTCAAATCAGTAAATATGGAACACATGAATAGCTTGGTCGATGATGGAACAAAGGGCGCGCTTCTTTGCAAAAACAGAAACAAAAGGGTGTAAATCATAATCGTCAATGGAGAGCGAGAGAGCTTGATTTTGAAATTGACAACAGGTGCTTGTCTGACGATTTCCAAAAGAAATGGATCATACCGCATGCTTTGTGAAAACGTGTGTGTTTTTTCCTCGTGTATGTGACATGCGTAGTGTATGTCCAGTAGTTGTTCCCTGGAAAATGGAACGTTCCCTGGGACTGCACGCGCAGATATCCTCTGCCAGACTATACGATCGTTCAGTAGGGGAGTTCCTTGTACCCCAAATAACTGCAGTTTTGCGACTTGCAATTGCTGTAGTGAATTGGTGATCCCCGTGACCATTTAAAAAGGTTATCTTAGGGAAATAAACCTGAGAATAGTTGCAGGCCCTATCCACGCCTTTATGTCTCCATCAAAATACATGTATTGGGATATTTTCAATATACTATATCTTCTCTAAAACTGCTAATGGCGACTGTGTGGGGCAGGACCAGGCTAAGTCTGGGATTCCACCCTTTAGGATAAGCAGTGAATCAGCAACCTTGGGTGCGCCTTTTACTGAAAATCCATCTCGCCATGATACAGGATATCTGTGGATTGAAACACGAGAAAGATCGGTGTTTGAAATTTCCAACTCTGGTGCTACTTTTCTAGAAAACCTGAGCCATCAGTAGATTGGCTAAAACTGAACAGAGTGATTGGTCATACCAATTCTGTCGGCATGTCCTAGTAAAAAGCACTTTTAAAATTGATATTGATAAAATAATTATGAATACTGGTGACAGTAAGGGATACAAATCGTCCCATCGCCGTGTACGTACGTGCACAAGGCAGATTTTTGTCTCAAAGAATGAAGCATTATTCATGCCGACGAGGTGATAAGTTTACCTACGCAGTCATACGCTGGTGATGTTTGACGCAGCTGTTCAAGCAGCTCGTCTAATTCCGGCCAATCAAATTGTAGGTAAGGAGCGAAGTATCAAAAGAAATTTTAGGAGCCGGAGGCCGATGCCCCTCCCAATATTCTGTGACGTACGTTGTCTCACATTGCGAAGCTGGTTTTTATCGAACAGACCAATTCCAGGACTTTCACAATTTTTCATGTGCATGTATCGACTAAGTTTGACATCAGTCTCCGTTAATCGATAGATAGTTCAAAGCCCAAAGTGTGGGAACGTTATTGTCGACCTTGTAGGGGATCCGTTGTCTGCATATGGTTAAATATGATTTGATTGTCTTTTGATATCAAACACTCGACAATCAATAGAAACACATCTGGTATTCATGACAGCGTAGCTTTAACAGTTTACGTATAAAACTATCTTGAAACTGAAACGTATAGATTGAATTCTCTTGATAAACGCAACCTTTTCAATATGAATTCAGCTCTCAAAGTTCTTAAATAATCACACATTTTTAGGTAAAAAAAGAAGTACCAGAAATAAGCCTTTAGAATAAGATCATTTGCCAGTATAATCTTCAGTGACAACCTCAAATTAATGCTCGGTTCTCGGAGCAACCCTGTTGATGTCAAACATTAGTTTTCAGAAAAAAAAACCAAAACAAAAACGATGTTCACAGTGTAAACATCGATTTCTTGAACTTCACAGTGGAACTTTAAACTCGCCGAGACCAGTTCTACACACGTATCCATTCCCGTGATTTTAGGCGACCATGAAAACAGGTAATATTTGACATTTTTCGCTCATTCGACATGCCCCAATGGATTTAAATAATCGATTCAAGTTATTGTTCCTAGCCCGTTTAAACCGGCTTTAGCCATATCGACATTAACAGGGCTTCGGGGTCGCGGATTGGTCGAGTCTGTTTAGAACCTATAATGGCGTGTCGATTTTTTGACACCCCGTTACCCTAAAACAATGCCCCAGTGTCCTTCCTATCAGGGCCCGGGATTAAATTGATTTTGTCTTTGGAATTTGAGCAGACTGCTCGGATTATCTCCTAAAATCGCTGGCTGTTGAGGGCTATCATCACTTTCCATCCCGCCTGACCAGAAAGAACCACGGGAGGTAGGTGCTTTCTTTCATAATTCCACCAAAAGAGCCGCTATAATTTTTGTGAAGACGGGAATTTATTGGCATGGCAACACGCCAAAATGATTAAGATGAAAGTAAACGGTGTTCTCTTCGGTATGACAAAAGTGTTTTGCCATCTCATTGTGTTTGATTATGACCAGAGGGCGTTCGGGCATAGGTTCTTATCAGCTTAACGCCTGTTTCACGGCCTCGCTGAGCGTGTTGTCTTCGAATCCGTCGCAAGTTCTGTTCCAAGCCCTTTCAGAAGTTCAGTCACACATGACATACAGGGTGAAAATTAGTTTTTGACACTGTTGATTTGAAAAACTTTTAATTTGGCTCAAGACAGGATGACAATGGTAGACTTGCCCAGCGCAGAGCTCGATTGGGACATATTCCTCCAAAGTCTTACCTGGTACCATTTCTATGAAGCCAACTGTACATGACTACTTGACTTGAATAGCCCATTAGGTCCTCTGAAAGATTTTTTTTGCCTTTAAGTGTCCATGGGACGCTTGGTCTTTGCAACTGTCGGAACCGAAGGGCAATGAGAGTAAGTTGCTTCACCTTGAATTGAATTTCTGTTTGTGCGGGTGTAGCAACGAATTTGGCTTTTTACGTATACGACTTGGTTGGTATCGAGCAAAAGATAGGCCATCATGATAATCCTCCTGCAAGCAGGGCTGACTTTAGGACTAATGCGGGCAATTCACATTAGTGCGCCTCCAACAATTTGCAACACGTTGGCCAATCACAACGGGCGAAATTTTCCAAACGCCCAATGGGTCGACATATTTCGCGTATTGTGACTGGCCACAGCGTTGTAAACGCTTAGAGGTGCACTTTTGTGAATCGCCCGTTTTGAGACATTTTGGTCTTGTGACTTCTCTTTTTCGTGACCCCAAAAGGTAGGCCTATAGGTATATACCCTCCACGAAGAGGTTTTGCCAGTTGCTTGATCAATGTCTTAGTGTTTTCCCTTTTTGCAACCTTTGAACGGAAAATGGGGTGCTTTGACTCGAGCGTGACCTTTCTGTCTCCGTGTAGGCCCCTATAACCATTCTTCTTTACATCGACACAAGTTGAATTCTTTATGCAGGCTCGATTGGATAACCCATAGATTGCCAGAGGTATAAAACAAACAGTGACGACGCCCTCTTTGCAACGGGGCAGGCAGCAGTATCTCCCCGACTGGTTCTCCTTCCCAGAGCACACGGAGCGTAAATTCTCCGAGCGGGTCAACAGAATGACTGCGACATGGCTTGTCGCGTTGCTGGTCGTGTGCTTATCACACCGTGCCACATGCTTCAACGGTGAGCAGATCCTTCGAAGCATTTTCAGAAATGTGCGGCCAAAATGGCGTTTTTCTTCTTTTTCAACCTCTCCAAGGGACAGCCCAAACATGACCTCTCCCTTTCTGAGGTGGCCTGAAAATGAAATTGTTTTCATTGATTGGTTGATCAAAATTGATTGTTTGGTCTTCTCAACGATGTATTTACGTACATTGTTTTTTATACCAGGTCTCCCCTCTTCATGCGCTGACATCTTGTCACAGGGCTCTTCGGACAGCGGCGATTATGACATTGACGCGGGAAATGGACAGATGACCGTGTACTGTGACATGTCAGGAGATGAACGTAACTACTTTTCATTGAAACCAGATTTTCATTCGCCTTTTTTCGTTTTACTTAACTATCCAGCAGAGACGGTCTGCGTCGAACTTGTCTATACTTCGGTCTCGTCACAAACCAGATGGGACTGTGCCGAAAACAGTTAATAGGGCAAACTTAAGTTGACTTCTTCGCAAACCCAGTTGTAATATTTTGTACATAAAGCGCCTTATCCAGTTACTTACGGCACGCCTTTCAAATTGAACATCAGATTTTCTGTGCTAAAATTCCGTGCCTTTTGCCCATGGAACTAACACTTGGACGAAAACTCACGTTTGCCAAAAACATGCCGAGAAACGTTTTGCTTTTGCAACGGAAGCTGGCCGTTTGCAGTGTAATAAATATCGAAGCCTCCAATAAATTGTATAAATGTATATAGGAAGCGCCTTCAACTTTGCATGACACTTTTAATTGATAATGCGACATGCAGCAACTAAGTGATAGTTCCTCTTGCTTACAAAAATCTAAAACTGAAAACCAAAATCCAAAGCCAAACAACTCAACATAAATAAACGATGGCAACTCCATCCTTTTGACCAGCGATCAGCATCGTCCACCATGATCACGAATACGCTGACCGGGAAGATCGCAAGGTCGACAACTGCGAGGAGCCCGGGAGCTTCTCCGCTGAGATCACCTACACGGTCAGCCTGGAGAAAGTTGTCGCCTTGGCCGACATCTCCGAGTACTGTGAACAGTACATCAGTTACATTGTGAGTATCTATGCGAATGTCGTTGGTAGAGGCTCCTTTTACAGAGCAATTTGAGAGAAACCACCACCCCCCAAAAAGCGCCAACGTTCAAGGGATGCCAGTATTACATATATTACTTTATGAAGCTACAGAATTGTTACAGTTCGTGCAGCATTATCGTGGACATAAAAGGGCAAAACGAAGGTTGGTCAAGTTGGTTAATTGTGTCGAATAATGAAAAAGTAATGAAATAGTTCAAGTGCTCAATGTCTAGGATTTGAATCCGGGAAAATATCCCTACTTCATGATAGCGTTGTCAACCTGGGAAAACCAGAAGCCCGTGTTATTATGCTGGCACTTACATCACATAATACGGTAATACAGTACTGCCACGCTTCGCACAGTGGCATTTTTTCTGTAAGCTCCTTTCATATTGATGGTGATGGGTATTGGGTGTTAGTTTTCTGTCACTGTACAATGCGATTTATTTACGCTCTCAATTAAGTCAGTTGCAATCCTGTGCAAAATTCTATGACAATTACCCTACAGTTACGATAGTGAGATCGAAGCTCACAACTATTCTGACAACTTTTGGTGGCGCGCGGTACGACCATTTTGAGGGTGGGGAACGTAGATCAGCTAGATTCGTCTGTAAAGACTCAAAGACCAGCAGTGTCTTCTCTATGATAACTGAATTGGGTTGGGAATCACTGGAAAGCCGCCGGGCCATATCCAGACTTACACTCCTGTTTAAGTTCATACATTATACAATAGCCATCAACACTGACAAGTATCAAATCAAACAAGCCGCCTATAAAATTCACACCCGTAAATCAATTGCAACTTCCTTTGTTCACCCCACCATCCAAAAGGACTCTTAATACTCATTTCTGCCAAGAACCATAGTTGAGTGGAACCTACTGCCAATAGACATGCGACAAGTAACTACAGTTGACAGACTGCACACAAAATTAATCGACATAGACCAAACTACTTTTATCAGGGGAGCCCACCATTAGTGCACACTGGCCACGACACACCTTCCATTTGAGGAGTTTGTTTGCAGTACTAAGAAGAACAAGAAGAGCAAAGGGAGTAGCGCCAACTTTACTCTTCGGAATCAAAATGGCTGTTCATGGTGCAGTCTGCAGAGCATGCAGCACTGTGCACTGTCTGTTGCATTTTTCTATGAACGGTTTATGGTGGAAACAGACGCTGGACTTGGGCAGCTTTGGAGGTGTGCATGAAAAAAAAATAAATAAACGAAAGAGGAAAGAAAAAAAGGAGCGTCTGTATAATTGTGTCCTATCCCTTTTCATCCCAAGAGTCATGGTAGCGTGCTGACATGGTTTCAAGAAAACCTGCCGTACGGCTGGTGGGAGAACAGATTTCATAAGAAGATGAAGAACTGGGGCGGCGCCGCAACAGGAACCATTGGCTGTGGATGCAGCGTCAGCCCTCAAGGTGAGAAGAGTTTCTTTTATGTGTAAATGACATTTAAATATCGAAAAAGTTTAAAGAATTTTCCATCGATTTTCCAAAATTGGCTGCAGCCAGTGAGTTAATACATGAGAAAATACTCTGGACAGAACGCGAGCAGTTGTCGGAAGGAGTGGATTGGCTTGTTTGACGGTGCTAAAAGGCCGCATGTATTTGTTCTGGATGTAGTGTAAACGATGCCATAATTTTTTAAACGAAGAATTAAAAGTGCACGAGGAACCAACTCGAGAAAGACTCTTTCATTAAAAATGGTTTTTCTTAGTGATCAAAATGAAGAACCATGGATACAAAAACTAAAGTGTATAAAGTATACGCGTACTGTCCAGTATTTTCCTAGAACCGTAATTCCAACCAAGACAGACAATCAATTTTGGACCCTTGCCCCGGTCGACGTGTATTTTAACATTGTATGCTCAGTGTTTGCCCCCGAAAGCTTGTGGAAAAAACTTACTTGGGTGGGACTCGAACCCACGACCCCCTGCTCAGGGTCGAGTCCCACCCGATAAGTTTGTGTTTTTTTTTCACAAGCCCGCCATTTGTTCATTTTGATGTGGTATATTGTCACCTCATAACCATGAGAAGAGCCGACCTACTGGGCGCAGGCGTTCACTTGCGAGTGTGGCGGTCCCTTTTTTCTCGATCGACAGTTGGTCTTTCATATTGGCTCCATCTCAACCCGCACGTTAAGTGGTCAATTTGTGCATTTATTACAGTCGGCGAATCTATTTTTTTTTAATGATAATTAAACTATGTGAACTCTGCCCCAAACGGTCACTGTGGGAGCGTGTGTAGTGTAGCCCGTCGACATGGCAGAACCTGGAATTGGAAGCCATGGGACAGTTGATTCGTCCTGACACGTATCGATGACAGTCGAGAGCAGATGAATTCTGAACTTGACGCAATGGAGCCTGAAAGTAAAAGGTCACACAGCGAGCTTCCGGAACCCTAGCGCTGCGAAATAGTAATCCGCCCGGGCGAATTAGAAGGCAGAAATTTTTTTTCAGTCATGTCCTATATATGCTTCCTAGGAAACTCCCTCTAGGTTAATGATTTTTTTCGTGCTTATGTGAAAAGGTGCACATACATTTTCAAGTGAGGGCGCCCTAGACTGAATCTGAAAATAATTACTTCGCACGTGGACGTGGAGCACGAGGTAGTTTGGAGCGTCGAAACGGGCTTCCAGAGCTACGGCTAGGTCTATTGTCTACGCGTCTCCACGTATTTCCAATGGCGCGAGGACCTAGACCTAGCTCTAGATAGACAAGAGATGCGGATGCAGGCCTTTGGAGCGTCGAAACGTGTGAATCCGGTTAGACTTTGGTTTCACTGGTTCCAGTCGTTTTGAAGCAGCGTTCGAAACCACATGTTGAAGCTTCGACTGGTTGTTTATGCGCATGCGCTAGTGACGTGCTAAAAACGTAAAAAAATCTGAGGATGTACTGGTAAGTTTCGACTGAGAATTTGTCAGGGATTATTTTGTTGTACTTTGTGCCAGAAATAAATGCTTCGAGACTCAAAATTTCAAAATGGGGGCGGTGCGTGTCAGACGACGACTAGGGCGGACTAGGTTTAATAATACTGGCCATAATAATCTGCTTGTTCTCGCGAGTGCCTCTATACGGTGCACGGTGAATTGGCCAGTTTGCTCCTACAGAAACAAGCCCTTCAAAATTAGTGAAACTTCATTAAGCTCCTCATTCTGATTCATGAATCCCGATTTTATGTAGCCTATGTACTACAAAGTTTGGATGAAATTTTATTTTTGCCAGATTTTCCGTTGTTTTTTTGGATGGGCGAAATGAAATCTTACAAAATGAGCCCAAAATTAGGAAAAGAAGTTTCCGACAAACTTGTGGATGGGTATTTGAGTGGAAGTAATGATGCTTTATAAGAATTAATCAACTTCAAATGAGTTTATAAATGTTTATGTGGGATTGTCTGAGTTTTTCAAGTGCACCACGTAAGGTAAACTCGGCTAAATTCAAGCCCAATTTCCAGACACCGACAGTTTTGAACTTCAAATAGAGGGGCTGCATGGAGCGTCCTCACAGAGATCAGGTCTTTTTTCCTGTGTGATATGCCTGAGTAGACCCAGTAGTACTTCATTGTCATATAAATCAAAATAACAAACATGTCTTCTCTGTGAGGGAGCTCCATGCATGCAACCCCTCTATGAAATTTCATGACACTGAAATTGTTCACAAAGGTTAAATGCCATGTATCATGAAAGTACCATGTACCATACCAATAACCAAACGACTTTTTAATTTTTATAAAGAAAGAGGTTTGGCAATGCTACGGTGGACGTCAAAGTGCGCCATGTTAGGGGACTCATCTACTATAGGTCAATTTAAACAAATTGGCTTAACCTTATACTTTATTGGCCAAGTTCTTGGCCCGGTTCTTGTATGTGTGTTAAAGTTCGAATTGTATGATAGGCAGGTTCTTTGCAAGTATAACGTAGGGTATTGTCCATGATGTTGACTGTCAATTTGTATTTATGTATTGACTTGTGTTGCGACATCAGCTGATTAATTCAGTTGATTGGTTGATGGAGGCCTTGTCATTCAAAGAGCCATTTGTAGGACTTTTACCTCTCATCCTTCTGTCTCAGGCTGCAAGGAAGGAAGACAGTGCAATGCTGACTGGAACATCCACCAAGACATTGAGGACTCCGGCTTCCTGAGGGACAAGCTTTCCTTGCCCGTCACCCGTCTGCGCTTTGGGGACACCGGCACATTGGATGATGATGAATATGGCTTCTATGAGCTGGGGCCCCTTAGATGTAAGCCATTCGCGGTTTTACTGGGCTGGCGCTAAGAGAAAATGAAGCTGTGTTCAACATCTACCTCCGGAACTATCATTACATTTGTTGTCAGCTGAGGCCTTGTGTTTCTTACCTTTAGTACCCTGTTCCTTTAACGAGGAAACAAAATCTACCTTTACAAAACAACTTACCTAGAGATAAGTTGGCAGTGATGCCCGTCTTTCATATCAGAAAGATTGCCTTTGTGACTAGAGGACAGAGCTGTGATATTTGAGGGAAATTATGGGGTAAAACGGCAGCATATGCGTATGTGACACGATGGAGAGGTGTGAACAAAGATGTATTTAAAAACGAATGTAATCTGATTCCTTGGATGAAAATTGTTTATCAATCTTGACTAATTGTAGTATATTCACAATGGCTGTGTCTGGTATCCAGACTAGTGGTGAATCATCACCTGATATGAAACAGGATACTATATAGGAACAGACTGCTAAAAGTAAAGAACACCATATTTATGCTGATGTGGTACAAGCCCAGAGCTACCAGACGTATGATTTGAGTGAGGTCAACAGGTGTTCAACCTCACTTCATGTTGGCCTTGTTATGTCCCAAATAGCCCAAACAGTCCCAAAGCCCCCGATTTCAATAGGATTTTTACATACACCCTAAAAAGTGTCTGTGTCAACCACAGTTGTGATGGTCCCAACCGTTGGACTGCATTGCAGCTGGCCCTACTGTAGTTGGCAAATTTTTAGAGAAAATTTCCGTACCCCCCTGAAAGTTCACGGGGGCTTACATCTGACAGGATTCATCCAAACTATGACAACCTTACATTTCATCCGTGACACAATAAAAGCAGTAAAACGTAGCCTCGGCAAGCATTTGTGCATTTGTCGTGTTGGCACACGTCACGCTTGCCTTCTGTGCTGTATAGTTGGGCTGCGGCGGCTCAGCTGGAGTGCCATAGCACCACTGACGTTTTTGTTGGGATGTAACAACCACACTGATGTGCAGAACTTCTTAAGTGCATTTTCTTCAAGCCTTAAACATTCATGGAATGATAGCGCACGGTAGTCCATAAAAAAGGATGCCTTGTTATCCACCACCCGATACAAACCTGCTGGATTAGGATTTATTCGTTGAGATCTTGAGATTTTGAGAACTTTTTTACCTCCTGCATTTATTCATAGGTAAAGGAGGCCCTACGACAAAAGAAAAAGGTGAGTAGGCTACCCTTGTAACAACTTGGCAGCTTGATTGATTTTGAGATTTAAGTCGTTGGAATGTCGTTTTCCAACAGTGTCAGGAACATTTCTGAGATATCACTTGGAATAGTATTCAAATAGTTGGAGCTACAGGAAAGCCAAGATGGTGTGATCTGGGTATTCGGAAAAAAGAAAACAAGAAATATGGAATTATGGACAATTTGCTAGTGCTTTTTGTGCCATGGTCTCCTCAAATCGAGAGTTCTTCGTGAACCACTTCCTTCTTTTATTGCTGCTGCAGAAATCCCCATCATTAAGACCAACACTGACTACCATTACCGTTACGACCTGCGCCCCTTGGAGTCCGGCGAATGCCGCGTGGAGTTTGAGGTTGCTGCCAACAATGACGTCTTCCTGGGCTTCTCTGAGACCAAGGACGAGCAGAGTGACTTGATCGAACTCAGTGAGTGACAGCGACACCATCGTTAACCATTATCTTGTTTTTATCGTTGTCCAGTGTCATAGTTGACCCTATCACAAGTCTATCAGAATTTGTCAAGTCACTAGCCAACCCTCGAGCTATTGAAATGAACTGGGACAGAAGCATGTCATTGCCGTCAGTCGCCCTGTCACTTATAACAGGTCTTCTGAGACAACCCATGAAAAGACTTGTGATAGACTCGACTATGACGGTGCCTTTGTTGTTATTATCATCATAATCAGTAGGTGTACGAGCAAGTCGAAAAATTCCAGGTTCATTCAGATTGAAGCACTGCTTGAGACAAAATTCATTCATTTAGGACGAGACACGTTTCAACTCGATCCACGTCACACTGGACTATTCCGGAACACTATAGTGTGGTGAAAACGTGGGGCTCCCATCAGTGGGGGCTGCATGTTCTCCACCCCCAAATTTTCAACCGACTCTATTCCAAGTAGATCAATCGGACATGTTGTAATACCCCCCAAATCAGCATCGTCATCAGCAATCTGACAGGTTTCCTCTCTGTTCAACTTGTCCTATTAGACATTGCCGGCTGGGGGAACAGCCGGACCGTCTTCCGGGAATGCAAGCAGTGCAAACCTCAAGCCAACTGGAGGGAAAAAGGCTTAGTCAGCAAGAATGAAATGAGAGGGTAGGAGCTCAGAACAAGCAGTTTGATATAGTTGAACGGTTTTTGACTCATTGCTGGTGTAATGTCATTACCAGTGTATACAGCAGTGCTGAACTAGTGAGAAAGCGACATCTAACTGTCCCATCACCAAGCTGGCAAGTTCAGCTTTGATAGAGCGGCGATAATCCATTTTTTTTTCAATGAAAGAAACACCCTTTTTCATTGTGATTTATTGTGCAAGTAGTTTTCCAGTCGGACCAAACGTATAAAATATTTTGTGTCACAGCAGCCATAGATTACTCTAGAACAAGTTTATACGGTGAGCTCCTGAAGCAAGCTCTGCGTAGAAGTCTCATATTATCTGTACTTTGTCCTTCCTGTTTTTCTTCTTAAAAGGTAAGGATGTTTTCAAGCATTTCTGCATCTGCTCGAATTTTGGAAACAAAGCTGAGCACAGCCAAATTTGAATTGTGGAGTGGTCATATCGTTTCTGAAGAGAGCTATGTTTTTTGCATCGGAAAGGTCAAAGATCACAGAATTATCCACTTCCCCTTAGCTTCCATCACGAGCAAAGTTTCTGGCTTTTTTGTGGTGCCTGGGATTTCAGCTTAGGACTTTTTTAAAATAGGAAAACGGAGACACGTGATATTGAATAAAACTAATCAGATTTGTTTTTTTTTTTAAATAGATTCTGGGTGGAGTGGTGCGATGGTTGTTTCCGTCTTGGGCGTGCTGGAGAAAAACAGTCACTCACCTGGTGTCCCCCTAGAATTAAAGACTGGAGATATGTGGCCTTCACCACCGGTTACGGCAGTACTGGAAAGTTTAAATTCAGCAGCTTTTATGCCAAAGGTAATACTCGGTTCTGTGGTCAAGACTTGTAACCCGGTTTGCAGCACCTGACCTTTGGGTACAGTTTCAAAACACCAAGCCAGACCGAATTGTGATCGATTTATGAAAGTGCTCATCAGGGGCAAGGAGGAAGAACTACGAAAGAATGACACGAGGTCAGGCCTCACGGTCAATTTTTGAGCTTTATGTCGCTCGTCATTATTATCTCTATTGAGCGCTTGCTTTAATTCGGAATGTCTGCAACACTTTTGTTTGGTTTCAGGAGAGTGAACTTTGATTTAAATTCAGGAGTCCGTATTTTTAATGAATTATACATCAGCAAAACTTTGAATGACATTCAAAATGTCGAGAGCATTATTTCACTACTTTCACAGTTGGACTAAAAAAATTGGTGGCAATTGGGGTAGAGGCCCGGGATGGGTCGCTGCATTTAAATGAGATGACATCTACCGTTGCCCGTTTCTTTGCGTCATGCCAGTTTTCCTTTGCAGTCATGGCGAAACTAAGAATTGCCACTGCTGCCCTAGTTCAGGCATTGTATAGGATTGTTGACCTGTTGCATAATCTGGAAAATTGATTTTTACGACACTTTGAGTCATCAGGGATGATGCAAGTATACTTTTCTTAATACTTCATCATCTTTCACTGTCACCGTGTAGTTCAGCACACCTGCGAGATGGAGTCTACCCACATCAACTGTGGCAGCAAGCACATAAACATCATCGACGCCAACTACGGGCGGACCAGCAGGGACATCTGCGTCAGTGATTACATGAAGTCCACCCAGTGCCGCTCGACCAAGTCCCGCAGTGTCGTGGGCAACCTCTGCCACGGGGAGCACGAGTGCCACTTGGCGGTGAATAACGGGGCCTTTGGCGATCCCTGCTCGAGCACCTCCAAGTACCTGAAGGTACAGTGTTTCCTGTGAACTTCAGAGGGACGGCTCCGCTGAGATTGTCGTTGATTGTCGCTGAGTCCATCACAAGTTGCCACCAGTCTTGGGTCATTAGTCAGAAGTCATTGGCAATTCCTCTTTATTAAGGCGCCTTTCCATATGTACGTTTTTCTAGTGCATTGCGTACAAGATGCATTAATGGGTTTCACTTTAAAAGGCACAAAAATTGACACCATGAACATAACACATGTGCACGTTGCATTCAGCCGTCAAAATTGCTCCCAGAGCAATTTTGACGGATATGCAACACTTGGCACAAGTGTTGACTTGCATATGGAAAGGCGCCTTTTCTTGTACTTTCATTCAACAGCCACCTGATGAGTGGCTCCTAAGGCCAGTGTTTATCTCTTGGTTTCCTTACCGTCTAATAACTGAGAGTAAAACCATTTGCCCACAATGGACTACCACCCCAGGCAAATACTGGTACCCATTTGTATTCCATCATGAAGGGGGGCAAGTTAAGGTAAAGTGCCTTGCTTAAGGACACAGTGGATGAATAGTGACCAAATTATAACCCTTGACCCTTAAATGGAGTACCATCCCATCACAGGTTTCATTCTGGCTATTCGACTGGTACCCATTTGTCCCCTTTCAAGAGGGGAGGCAAGTTGAGGTAAAGCACCTTGCTTAAGGACGCAGTGCATGAATTGCAACCCTTGACCCCTCAAACATAGCCGCTCACTTCCCTTCCTCCGAGAGAACTTCTGTCAAATCATTATCGCCATGTATTATCCCCCTCCCCACCCCAGGTGATATACCAGTGTCTACCGGAACGGGTCGAGAAGTACTTCCTTCCGGAGGTCTGCCTCGATCACCAGTGCAACCCCCGGGGTGGGGAGTGCATCCCCATCAGCGGCTCCGAGTACCGTTGTGCCTGTAGGGCTGGTTTCCACGGCACACATTGTGAAAAGGGTGAGATTGTTTGGGACACCAGATCTTAATCCTTCAGGGTAATTTTTCAGAACTTTTCCCCCGGACCCAGTTTCAGAAAAGCCACAGCCTTCTTTCCATTGACTTTTTCAGGCAAATTTTTCCAAAATGCAATTTCTGTGTTGAATGGCAGTTGTGATGCAGAAACTGAGGACATACGTGATTTTTTTCTGTTGCAAAAAGTCCATCAACATTGATATTGAAGTCTGCATTAGGTCGCTTCAGCTGTATTTTTCAGACACATAATTCTGGGCGATAAATTTACAATGCAATATTCTTTCCCGCAAACTGCCTTTTAATGAATATGCTGATCCACAGTTTTCCAACAGTATTTGGTACAATCATTAACTCTGTAGTCCCAAGTCCTCCGATTTCAATATGATTTGACATTCACCCCCGGGGGGTTAGGGTTGAAAGCTCCCGCATGGTTGTACAGTATACCCAGCAAGATACGGGACGGAGGGGTAAGCCCCTTATTGTCCAATCCCTGCACACACCCCAGATTATTGTTACAGAAAATTCCTGGGTCGTCGAGGGGAAAAAGTTGTCTGGGAGAAATCATGCACGAGTTATTTTTGGCAGGCCACTTTTGATATGATAACAGAATAATGATAAATTTACAAGTTATATCCTTTTGGGGCTATTGTATGATGCCAGTCCTCCAGTTCACAATACCAAACAACTTTTCTCTGCAAATTGTCCTGTTTTAGTCTTGGAAAAGTCCTGGAAATTGGTGTTCAGATTTCTCTGGGAACCCGGTCGTACCGATCAACTCCTCCTGCAGTGCTGGCCAACTTTTCACCCGTCCGTTTCGTGCACCAATTTAAATTCCCCCTGTGTTTGACACCAGTGATGACATGTACTGCGTAACAAACCATATACCTTGCAGAGTTTGCCCTGTGCAGGGCCTGGGGGGATCCACATTACACCCAGTTCAGTGGCCGATCTTTCAACTACCAAGGCAAGTGCAAATACATCCTGGCCAAGCCTTGCGTCGAGGATGGGGAGAGGTAAGTTGGTGGCCGTTGGTGCTTGTCTGCTTCCACATTGTTCAGTCTACATGCTTTCATGTGCAAATTTCGAACCCCCAATTTGCTTTTTTAGAACGTTTCTGGGAAAAGGTTGCTTGCTGGCTTATTGCCATATACACCACTCCTATTTTGCCTACAACTCACCGGTCTTGGAGTCGAGTACAGAGTACTGCCAAGTACTTAAATCTCTGAGTACCTGGAAGTCCGAGTATTTTACCAGCCGAGTACAAGAACTGATTTTCAAGTGCGAGTTTTGGTACCTCTGAGTCTGAGGGAACCCTGGGTCACTGATTTGGAGGGTGAGATGTGGAGGGTGGGGAAGTAAAAGAGTGCACTGACCCCATTGTATGTTTCCTTGCGCGTGGTTATGTTGCAGTTAAATCCAGTCACGACTCCTTGACAAGTTCTTCCACGAGTCCGGTCACAAGTAGCAGGGTGAACGGTGACAAAGGCATACTTTTGTCACCGTTCATTTCAACGGCTTGTGACTTTGCTGGATGGCGACTTGCAATGCACTCGACCGCAGCCTTCCCTCTAACCTTCCTTGTTATCGCACTCAATCCCTTCATCATTTCCTCGTCGGGTTTTGAAATTTGAGTGTCGTTATTCCTTGTTATTTCCAGGACGTTCAAGATCGTTGGTGTCAACGTGGCGCCAGACTGGAACAATAGAGTTTCCTACAATCGACAGTTGGAGGTCATGATTGGCAAAACGGTAAATCCATGAGGAGAGCAACTCTTTTAAGTTTTAAATTCATCCAAGTCAAACCGTCGTGACAGTAAATTCAACTTAATAGGGTCTCTGTGATTCAATCCAATTCAGCCGCCAATAACATGCGAAAACTTTCTGTGACTTTTTTTGGCAGGAGCTCTTCCTCCTGCAAAACAATCAAGTCCTCATCGACAACAACATCAACAACTTGCCCTGCTCAGTAGGTGACGACATCACAATCGACTTAGACGGGAAATATGTGGTAAGTGCATGACGTACGCTCAGCGTCAGGAAAAAATACCAGCCGAGGCTTTACATGATTTATTGCCTTGACTGATACATTTCTAAATTTTGCTTAAATGTTTTCCAATAAGCAACTTCATGAAGTGCTGAAAATTATTAAAAACAAGCAGGTGCATATCAAGATATTTAAAACTGCTCCCCCAGAACAATGTTTTGCTCGAATAAAAAATGATTTTCACACCTATTATGCTAGGTTCAACGTTGTACCAATTTGTCAGAATTCTCTGTGTTTTCCTCGTAAAGGTTGTAAACAGCGAAAGCTACGGAATGAAGATCATGTGGGACGGCAGGGAGACCTTCAAGCTCTTCGTAGACAAGGACATGTACAGCGAGAACATGTGTGGACTGTGCGGCAGCCTTAAACCTCACAAGGACGGCATCTTCATCATGAAGAGCGGCTCAGAGGTGAAGGCTCAACCTGTCACTCGGAATGAAAATTTCTCTTTACCCAAGTCGAGATAATTATTATTGGTGGTCTGTGAACAGCTGAGCTTGCAGCCAGTGGGGAAATTGAGCAGAAGTGACACTTGCTAAACTATGCGTTTAGGAGACACACCAAAATTTAAACTAAGACAGCGAGTTTACCAGTCTGTAGTCATTCCACTCAAAAGCAGTAGCATCTGAGGTTTTAATCGGGTGGGGGTAGATTACACTTAATATGGCCCAGGTGAGAAAAGAACGTGATACAAGACTCCGCCTACTCGTCCATAAGTTGGTAAACTCGGCCATGACAGGCTACCATTAAGTTTAATTTGCACTGACCACCGTTTGTTGTTTTGTCCCTTGATTTGCTCAAGACAAAAGACATTATCGCCTTCGGAGACTCGTGGACTGCCAATCCATTCGAATGCCCCAGCTGCGATAATTGCGTTGATCTAGACTACTGCAATGAAGATGAGAAACTGATGCAGAGAGTCGAGGCAGCATGCGAGCCTATCAGGAATGCTAAAGGTATGTTCTGATTTGGAATTAAGCTTCGCTTATTTTAATCACCTGGGATCAATTTGTGCCAAACCGGCGCCAATTTTCGGCCCTAAACTTGAACGGCGAAGAGTGAGCCAAGTAAGACTGAACTCGACAAGTTAACCAAAAGGTGCAAGTTGAGACTGTGCTCCGGACCTGTTCATGTTGTTGGGTCCCACTGGTGTCTTGAACCTCCGTACCCTTTCCACTTTTTCAGGTGTGTTCGCCGTGGGCCACAGACAGTTTGACCCGGCCGAGATGTACAGGACCTGCATCTATGACCTGTGCTCCCGCAAGGACTTCGACGACAAGCTGCGCTGCAACATGATGACGGAGTACGCCAACCGCATCCTGGTGGAGAACCGGCTGAGGTACCTCCAGGAAGGCAACGCCATTATCAGCTGGCGTGAAGTGCTCGACTGCCGTAAGTGTATCTTACCACCCTCCGCCAGTATCCCGGCCACACCTTCTCGTCTCTGAAATCGGTTTCCTAGCCTATTTTCCTGTGGCTGTTGTGTCATATATTGAAACATTCAATACGCACCGTGTATACCGTGAAACTGCCCCCTTAATAAAGGTACAGTTCATCGTTTGCGGTTGTAGAAAAAGTAACAGACAAAACTATTGTTGAAAAGCCTACTTGGTGTAAAGAGGTGGGACTAAACCCCCTCCCATTTTTATTTTGAAGAAAACAATGAAAAGAGGTCATTTCCAACAAATTGCCTATAGAAGCCCGCGCGCGTGTTGACATGACACATACATGTTCGCGCGCGTGGTTACCCTAATTCGTCACTTTTAAGCACTTGACATCTCATTGCTGCATTTATGAGAACGTGTCCTGGATTTCCTGGAAATCCTGCCATGTAGTTGTTCTTGAACGTGTATGAGGCGTCCTTCTTTAGATTTTGAGTAACTTTGTTGCCTCTGAGGAACACCATGCACAAATGACAAATGATGGACTGTAATTTTGCCATCCTTTATCGGTCCTGCAAGAGTGGAGAGTGTGTGTGAAACTTAAAGGAAACTTCCATAGGGTGAAAGTGATCGTCAGTGCGGACGTGGGGAAGTTAGGGCTCAGTTATAACTTTTTAACAACAATCCACTCATTTGCGGCCGTGGGATTTGAACAGTAGTCGCCAAGGCGCCAGCAGGCGTGACACTGTTGTTGACTTGAATAAGAGACTCAAGTCAGACTCAAGTTGTTTTTGAACTTGAGATTTCACTTGACCGGGAAAGCAATGACTCATGGCTTTACTTGACTTGAACAGACGTGGCTTGTTGACCAACTTTTGTTGGAATAATTTACAAGTAAAAAATATTCATCTATGACTCCCATGTGCAAAATACTACCCTGTCTGTTTTCGTTAAACAGATGTACTGCATTGTCATTTAAAATATGAGGGTGGAAAATGAATAGGCAGACTGGCCAGTACCTGTCTTGCCAAATAAGTGAGATTATCTCATCACTGGCGTAGGATATCAGAAGTCAATTTATGAGGTCAGAGAGGCTTGAAAAATATTTGTGAACTTGACTCGGGGAAAAAAATTGACTCGCAACGCGAGTGGCAGGAGAATGACTCGTGACTTGTTGTATAGAAAAGGAAATGACTTTGTTATACAATATAAGTGGCTTTGTGTGGGTCACAAGTGAAAGATGGGACAGTATTTGGGGGAACTGTGTCGTATTGTGTTTTGGGATTCCCGCAGCGTTTGACTGTCCCCAGGGATCCACGTATACCATCTGTGCTAGTGCCTGCCAGCCGACCTGCTTCCAACCCATGGCCCCTGCCATGTGCCAGCTGAGCTGCGTGGAGGGTTGTGACCTCCCCGCCGGATACGTCATGGAGAACGGCAAGCCCGTCCCTGAGAACAAATGCGGCTGTCGCTACGGTGATAAGTACTACAACGTGAGTCCTTTTGCTCCTTCCGATCTCACTTCTTTCTTGGTTTGTATTTTTTTAGCTCGAGATGCAGGCCAACACGGGTGATTCACAATAGTGTGCCACCAAGAGTTTCTAATACGTTGGCCAATCACAGTGCACGGAATCTGTTGACCCTTTCCAAACGCGCATTTAGTCGACAGATTTTGCGCATTCTGATCGGCCAATGCGTTTCAAAGTCTTGGGTGCCAGTGGATGAAGTGGCCAATTCTCATTGCTGTTGCTTCAGTGTGCTACTTTTCGTTTGATCTTTGAGTGGCAGGGGCTTTCTCAACCCCGTCCCAATTTCCTAGTGGAATTTAATTATGTTTACCCTGGCCATTCTTCATGCGATGAGATCTGTGTCGTTGCTCTTAAAATGCTTAGAGTTTTCAACTACATTCGGTAATATTAAGTAGCTGAAAAGATCTTCCAACAGTTGGAAGCTGTTGAATTCCTGCAAAATATCTGATCACTTATGCAGGAACCTTGAGTAGGAGAAACGTATTGGACAGTGTTTTCAATTATGTAGAAATACGGACAATAGGACTCAATACATAGGCAAACCGGGAAATGACTGGCACAAGTAACTGGTGGCGTTACTTCTTTTTTCCTTTTCGGGGGGCGGCAGCGCGACCAGTCCTGGTTGAACCATGACTGCACCTTGTCCTGCACCTGTGAGTCCGGGGGCCAGGCTGTCTGCACTGCGGTGAGCTGCAGCGAGCACGCCTCTTGCTGCTCCCGCAACCAGGTCCACGGCTGCCACTGTGATGCCAATTACGTGGGTGTCGGCACCAGCAGGTGCCAATGTAAGTTGAACTTTTGGTTTGTGGCCCTGAAAAACTACTTCTTCGTCAACATAATGTAACAAAGAGGATGAAGTTGGTGGCTCACTCCACCGTGTCAATCGTTCTCGCTCGACTGCGGTAATTTCATTCAAACTACTTCAAAAACTAAGACCACACCCAAAATGGGCATTGGTGCTGTTAACTTCAATGAAGATAAGTTTGGAAATGGTCGACAGAGGCCTGCCCCGTCACAAATGAGTGCTAGCGTTTGTACTCCTGTGGGCAGAACAACTTTGTCAGAATAACAAAGCATCCGTCTTCATTTGTTGTGTTGAGTAACCTTGTCTGAGAAACAGCACAAGTATCGCTAAAAGGTTACTATAATTATCACAGAAATGTTTAGGTTTGAATAGAGCAATGCAAATACTTTGTATTACTTGTACAAATAGGGCAGAAGGGAGATGTGTTATTTTCAGGAATGATACCTTTGGGAGACACTAGGTACACGTGGACTATTTCAAAGTCTCTCTACTGCGTCATCCCTGCGAAGGAAAATGAATCTGTTTTGCTTTTGTGAGAAACTTAGATTGGCACTCAATCTGGAAGTGGATAAAAATTGTTTTCAATAGGTTTCACCTTTAGGGGCTCTGAATCGTCAAACGTTGCGCAGGAGCCTGTGGAAATGCCTGTTGAAGGTACCATTTGGAGGTAAATGTTGTTGTTATCGCCCATCCAGTGATCTGTCCGTCCAGCATGGGCAATGAAATCAAGCTGCGAGAACACAAGGATGAGGGCCACCACGCCATCATTGACTTGAGCCAGCGCGTGGCCTGCGAGGGCTACATCCGCTCCTTCACCATCAAGCGACACGCCGACTCCATTGAGCCCGTCACGCTCATCGTCTGGCGTCGGACGGAGGAAAAGAGCAAGTTCGTCATTGTGGGCAGCGCCCGGCTCTCCATCGCTGACGACAGCATGGACCTCTGCACCTGCGCCAACTCCAAGATCCCCGTCCGCGTTGGGGATTACATTGGCTTCATGTCGGCCGGTGGCACCGTGTACTACGATGACGTGACCGACGAGGCTGGGGGACAAATTCTGTCAGCGCCGTACTTCGACTCGATCGAGCCCCTGACCGAGGTCCAGTTTCAGCCTATGCAAGGCTCGAGGGCATATTCCATCAACGTGTTTCTGGAATGTGAGTGAGTTCGTCTATCTTATTAAGCCTGTGGTCAAACACCGTTCACTCTCAACTGTGTTTGATTGAAGTCTGTTTCTTTCAAGTTTAAGATTCTGAAATATTGCAGGAATACAACCTTTATTTGATGGTCATTGGTCCGGGTATTTCTCACCCTTACAGTAGGAGAGCTGGGTTGGTGTATCGGTACATCCCTCACTTTTCATCTCTGTGACTCGGGGGGTGAAATCCCACCCAAGTCCGCTGGTAGACTGGTTTTCTACCATGTCTGATTCAGTGGGTTTTCCCCGTTATTTACTTGTCCACCAATTTCCTTCAACCCTCACTTTAACTTCCAAATGTTTGTTTTCTTCTCGTGCCATTTTATTGTCATTTTCCCCGTCTGGAGAACTGAGACATCTCCTCTACCTTCCACGCAACTAAAAACATGCCGTGAAGAAAAAATCAAAACCTACGCCACTGCAGTGAGGTTTTTGACCAGCATCAGAACGGTTCTCTTCATTCCGTTCATTCTGTGCATTCCAAGTGACAGTAATTTTCCTGTTTTTTTCCCCCCTCCTCCCTCTTCCCCGCCCACAGCATCTGAAGGCCATCGTGTCGAAGCATGTAAGTATTCCTCGTGGTCCTGTAGAATACTTGCGTTGCAACCAGTTCAGAGCTGACGTGTACCCAGAAGAGAATTTTCATTTCCCTCCTTCAGTGTCCACCAGGAATGCAGGGGATATCAGTTGAAAAAAATATATATAAATGCATCGCGAAGTTCTTTGAGCACAGCACTGCCCGGTGGATGGAAGTTCTCTAAGGTGCTGTCCATAGGTTTGATTGCGTCCAAGCGTGTCCATTGTTCATTCGGAATTCATGAGGGAGCAACGTTTGTCCACATTACCGAACTCATGAATTGTATCCACAAAGTACCCTGATGAATCTGTCCACGTGAGCCTTTGAACTCTTCAAGTATGTCCTAATGAGTCATGCCAGGAAAGCCAAAGGGGTACAAAAAGTTACATCAGTGGTTAAATTTTTAGTAACGTTTATTTGTGATTTCGTTTCGCACCTGGCATTCTACACTTCTATTTGTATTCCCACTGCTTGCCTCTCGTTTTACTTGTTCCTTGTATGGGATCTTGTGATATTCACATGCAGTGACTTCAGAATGAAACGGGTGGAAAGTGTTTCTGTCTGTGGTCATACGTGCATGCTTTCAAAGCAATAGCAATGTAAATGAAAGACCCAAATGACTCATGTACCGTGATTTTAGAAGGTTGTTAGCATGTCCTGTGAAGGTGGTCTCAGCAGGCTGATTGCATTTGTAAGCTTTCCCTGTTCTTTTTTTTTTTACCTCAACTCTCATTCGGACACCAGTTAGGTGGAACTAGAAACATGGTGTTCTCGCGCAACTTGTATTTTTTCTTGCATGTCGTGTTGATTTGAAACTTTACGTATGAACTGCTCATGAGTTTTTTACATGAGTGTGATATCCGAGCTCTAGGGGTTGGGGGAATCTACCCTCCTACCTGGCTGCGAGATGACTGAATAACCGGGGTTTCTTTAGGGTTAAGACAGGTGTGGTTGAGAAGCACTCATATACGCTTGTGTACATCTTCCATGTCATCCAGTCATGTTCAGCAGCTACCTGGGCGTGCAGTCACGGGAGATCTCAGATAGCGCTATGACGGCTTCGTCCTCCCTGGGCAGCTATGAGGCCCACCGGGGCCGCCTGGACAACACCGAGTACGGCGCCTGCTCCTGGACGGCTGGCTCTTATGACACCGACCAGTGGCTGCAGGTGGACCTGGGCCAGAACACGCTGGTCATCGGGGTGGTTACCCAGGGTCACTGCGGCATCGTGGACCAGGACCGCTCCCCCGTGGGCTGTGTCAAACAGTTCAACGTCCAGTACAGCCATGATGGGCAAAACTTTGAGTACGCGACGGATGACAATGGCAAGGCTGATGTAAGTATTCTTTTCCTGTAAAGAGCCCCTCAGGTATTTCCAGCCCACTATTGGCTACTGTAATTCAATGGTTCTCACGTTTAGCTCACAATATTATAACAGTATCTGGCTTTGAAGTTTTTCCAGTGTTTTTTTGAGTATGTACCTTGGAAAAGTGAATGAAAAAAAACCAAAACAGATGAAAGGGGACAAAATCACCATTTGGCTTGAAAAAATTTTAGAAATAACACTGTTGATGAAATGGCCCCTAAACAAATTGCCTCCTTCCCCCGGAAGGTCCTACTGATGCCTAAAGGTGCATATCAGTAAATCCACAGATGCTTAAGATTGGCGCAAAACATTCAGGACTTAGGAATGTTGGAGTAGTGAAAAGGGCTCATCAAAATGGTGAATTGGATCAGTCTAAAAGCTCTGTGTGTTCGATATGTGCTCATTGCAATGAAAAATTGCCTCGCCCGTTTAATACACCTTCAGGTGTTGTCACCTGTATGTAGGTCTGTCGTAGGTCCCACCGTCCAAAGTCTTGCTGCATTAAGTCTGCCCGTGCATAATTGTGTGCAGGTGTGATGCGTGATACAAGGGCCCATGTTGAGGTTAAGCGTGGCAGCCATCTTCCCGGTCAGTGCTTCTGTCATTTAGGGTGTGCACAAAAGGTCGGCTCATGTGTATCCCTACAGAACAAAAACACTGACTGACAAGATGGCTGCCGGGCATATCCCCATAGGCCAGGGGTCACATTGTAAGGGTCCACAAACTTCTTGAAACGTGTTGTTTCTGGTGAAGTCCGTCACATCTGAAGTTCTTGCGTGCTAACAAAATCTGGCCTCTTACAATTCTGAGAATATTGTGTGATGATTGTGTGCGATTGCCAGGTCTTCGAGAGCAACTGCAGGTGTCAGAAGCACATCAAGAATTTCTTCCGGGATGCCCTGATGACAAGATTCATTCGATTCCGACCGTTGCTCTGGAAACGGGCAATCAGCATGCGAGTGGATGTCATCGGACGAGATGGTAAGATTTAATGGCGGTTGACAAGCCACACCCAGATTCCAACGATCTGTGATGACGTATTATTTGGAAAGTGTCTATTAATTGTGACTTGCCATTTGGAATATTAATTTTCAAATGATTAAATGCTTTCTCCAATGATTAACACCTTCGTGTGATCACTCTTTTCAAAATGTTATTTGAACTATTTCTTGCCGGGTGCTTTTAAAAATTCAGTGCCTACATACGGGCAGTTTTTCAATATCTTTGTTTTTCAAAAATCTTCAAAAATTCTTTTTTTCCTGAACGCCTAAGCCCCATAGAGTGTTTGTCAGGTGGCTACTCTAATCAGACAGACAAAATCTATTGATGCCAGAGTATTGCAGCCAGGCCTGCCGCCTTGTGAAAAGAGCCCAGATTTCGCAGTGTTACTTAAGTTTCTTTTGTTCCCGAAACTGGCACAGTGCGCTACTGGCATCTTTTCAATTCGGGCCAGATTAGCGTGCAGCGGTATTGTATCGCTCTCACTGGAGCGCTTTTGTTCCCGGTGGTAATCCGCTTGCGCTGAATGTCATAAACAGTGGTATTATCTTTCAAACAAAGACGGATTTCCTGCACTATTGACAAATGAAAACATGTTGGCAATTTCCAACAGCTGTGTCTTTTGTTCCGAGTATGGTCTTTTGTTACAAGGCCCAAGCTCTTTTGTCTGATTTCGAACAAAAGATTTATTCGCCTGGGAGCAGCTTGATCGATTGGGCGCTTTATAAATGTCAGTTATTATTATTATTATTATTACAAATCTCCCATCTTTGATATGGTTTTGATGATTAGCACTGAAACGTTGAAAAAAAGACGAAAGGGGAAGAATTGATCTGAAAGACAAGTCTTCAAGTTTTACTAAATCACATCTGCTTTGTCTTTTGGGATTGAAACATCACCACTGCCTCATTATTGACTGCAGTTTTACTTGCTTCATCCCAGTTGAAGTCGACGAACCTGACGTGGGGGGAACTGACACTCCCGAGGAGGCAGAGGAAGAGGACATCGCTGTGGTGTTCACTGGCAAACCTTTCACCCGCTGTGGCTACCTGAAGGGGCTGCAGTACCGCCCCTTCAATGGGGAGTCCTTCATGATGGCTGTCCTGCGCAAGACCGACCCCGACAACCCTGACGCCGACAAAACCTTCAAGCTCATTGGAAGTGCCTATGTGACTACGACCGGCAATGACAGGGTGCGATGACCCCTCTGGTTTTTATATCTGATCATGACAACCCTTGTTGGAGATACCTTTGCATCTGTCACTGCATGCATTCCTAGTCCAGTAAACCTGCATTTTCTGAAGGGCTAGGCCAAAATGGAAAGCAGAACAACAGAACATAAAAAGGGCTGTCATGCCCCAAACCTCTTCCTCTAACAAAGTCCCAAGCCGCCGGATATTTATGCCAAGATGACCCCAGAAAATTTTTAAATTGGCCACTCAGTTTTGAAGGATAAACTAGAATGCCTGCTACAATAACCTGTTCATTGGATCAGTCATTGCCGCTGTTGGGAAAATTCAAAACTTCTCAGAGTTTAAACAATTTGGGCATGCGTGAGGTTTGGAAGTGTTGGCTTTTTTGACAGGGTAAACTCTACATATTCTAAAATACAGTGCCCTCTGTAGATTCTCACTGTCTTGGAATGTGACAGGCGTCAGAAACAATTATTGGCACATCTATCGGGGTACAAAAAAAATGCGTAGTCTTTCTTTGGTTCCCGAGTTGTTCCCGATTTTGGAGATGCTCCCGAATGCTAATCAGATGAAAGATTGGTGTAGTAATCCCTTATGGATATTTTGTCTTGGCTCACAGTTGCAGCGCTTTGAGGTCGCAGGAGAAAACGAGCGCATCCCCGTCCGCAGGGGCGACCTCCTGTGCCTGATCTTCCAGAAGCTGGCCATTGGCTACTCCCCGGGCGACAAACCCGCCGCAGATGTTCTGACCACCTCCCTAGGGCTGGATGAGTACAGGGCCATCATGCTGAACAGTGAAATCACCTTCACCAATTCGTTAAGGAGGCGGTACAACGGGGTCAAGCCGATCATTCAAGGTGAGAATGCGGCCCAGTGCTGACGAGCCCAGAAAGAATGCTGAGCTCTGAAAATGCCCGCTTAGTTAGGGATCCTTAGCCCAAACACTGTGCAGTGCAATCTGTTCTTTGTGTCTTGTTCTAAGCTATTGGCATGCGTTTCTTGCCATATTTCAATTTCTTGAGCCAACGTGACTTGAGACTTGAGGGCTCACCGACACTTTGATATGAAAAGAGCCTTTTGGCCAACTCCATTGCCCTTGCCCCCCCCCAAAGATGTATACATACATGTGACCCGTCACAACCAGATGAGCGTAAAGTCACATTCTGCTCTTTTTCTATTTTGAGGGTTTAAACTCGTATTGAAGTGGAGGTCAATGGGGGAGAGGGCTACTGTAATATTTGGAAAGAGAAACCCGTCTTCTATTTAATTACAAATATTTCGCAGGATCATAGATTTAAAAATTTCATTTTCTCAGCAATTTTGCTGATAGCATTAGCCGTGCCTTGTCAGAAATGTTGAAAAATGTTGGGATCAAAGACGCAAAGGCGCCAAAATAATGTCACATTGTTACCTCATACTTTTACTCTGAGTGTTCTAAATGCGTACCATTGGAAAGTTCTCTTTTGCTAAATTCAAATACACCAATATCTCAATTTTTGAAAATTCCAACTTTCAGCTCATTTTGTGGTGATTGGTCACATATTCCACGTAAAGTGTATTACGCTTTCTCTGACTTTGCTCAGTTGCATTTATCTGTGAAAGTTGTCAGCAGAGATGATGACTTGTGTTTCTTTCCAGTTTCAAGCAAGTGACTTGTTCATACCAAGCCTAGATTGAATCAGGTTCATTGTATCTGTGACTTGTTTTCCTTCTTTCCTACAGTTGCCACAACCATGACCATTCCACCAGGTAGGAAACCAATCCTTATTGTTGCTGAAAATCTTTTCCCTTCCCATTAAACAGCAGACAATGTGATATGCAGGCCATGCCTTTAAACAATTCTGGTGCTATGGCTGATCTCTATGGCACTGTGATTCTAGAGATCAAAGTTGTAGCCACAAGACAACTGCTCTTTGTCAGGGCTGAAGTCTTTCATGCTGTGGCCACAAGATTCCTACCAGTAAAAGAACTTATTTTAAACGTTGCGTATTTGTAGAACAGCGTACCGCATGCTGTTGACCAAAGCTCCGTATGACAAACTCCCTGAACATTCTTCATGGATTCTGAGATCTGTTTAAGTGACATCATTAATCTGGTGACCTAGAATTCCCCCCCTCAAAAAAAAATGGAAGCTCAGTAAAGAACTCGGTATTGGTTGAGAGAAGAACATTCATGATTAATAATCAACTGCAACTTGAAAACACAAACAACAATTGAGTCTCAAATCCAAACTTAAAGTTGCAGTCTTTATACTCAACGCAACGCAACGTTCTGGTAACGTTAAACAGTTCACGTTTCAGGCAGTCTGACCTTGGGACATCAACTAGCAGTGGAGTTTCAACAGTCAGCCTTGCACCAGATTTTTCAAACAATGATGAACACATCTGGTGAAAAAAAAAAACGCTCTTCAACTGTTCGTCTTGTTTTGACATCGTATTAGATCGGTGACTTGAGCGTTGTAGCATTGGGTGAAAGATAGCTTCAGATGTGTTACCAGTGCATTCTCCCCATGTATTTGTTCACCTCATTATCATTTGTGATAGTTAGCATGCTAGCATGCAAATCACTACTTCAAACAGGAGTACGAGAATTTTAGCTTTTTAGCTGATTTCAGCCTTTTTTTGTTAGATATTAACCCTGAGTTTCAGCTTTTCTGCACACCTTGTCTGCACAAAAGTAGCAGAACTTTTTGACATTTTAGCTTTTTTCATGTGAAAGGTAAAGAGTACTTAAGGTCACATGGCAATACGTCGACAGCCTGGAAACTTGCATGCTATGAAAACAACAAAATGTACATTGAGAACAATTTTGGAAACACTCCACTCCTTCGATTACACTGACAGTGATGTCGATGGTCGGCCTTGGCGTGGAGGATGGACAGATCAAGGATGACCAGGTCACTGCCTCCAGCTTCTGCGACTCCCACAGCAAGGCGGTCCGGGCCCGTCTGGGTCTGAAAGACCAACAGGGTATGACCGGCGGGTGGTGTGCTCGGGAAGTGGACCAGAGTGCCTACCTCCAGGTGAGACACTTGGCCTAGTAGCCTATTTATTGCTTTACAGTGTGGAAGATTTGCAGAGGCTTGTAAAGTTCATTTACAAAGAAATCAATAATCGGATCCCAATACAGAAAGAGTCAGTTTTCAGTGACATACAGAGGTATAAAATAAGTTTATTGAGAACCGATTGAGAAAGGTATTATAGTACATTAAGTCATAGTTCCAACGCCTTCGGGTTTGCCACTAAATATCAGTTCTTCAGGTTGGCATTGTTTCATTACAAAGCATCAGGTTTAACACCAAGATTTGAGAAGAATAGATGATCCTGTTTGATTTTTAGTTTGAAAGAGTTGGGTGTTACAGTGTGTTTTTTCCGGGTAGACTCAGTGTGTATGCAAGACAGTTCCGGGTTACGTCAGAAATAACTCTCCACACCCCCCACCGTCGACTCCTCCTAAAGTTGACGGGAAGTTAGAAGTTGTCACTGTCTGTTAACACTACCCAGATTAACTTCAACAAGAAGCGGAAGTGCGGTGGGGTAGTGACCCAGGGCCTCAGCAGCACCACGCGGCTATGGTATGTGCAGAAGTACGTGGTCAGATGCAGCGTCGACCTGGTGACCTGGCAGGACATCACAGACAAGGCTGGCGACACCGTGGTAAGACAGGGAACCGCTCTTGTAATGTTTTGTCTGCAGGCCTTTAACTCACTCCAGCTCTGTGGTGTTCTCCGCACCGTGGCTGTGTGGCTCATAATTCTTTGCAATCTTCTCACAGCTCTACTAGTTTCTTTTTTGACATAACTGTAGCTCATTGCAGATCTGTCACATTCTTTACGCGTAATTTTGTAGTTATGCATTCGTTGTAACTAAATTTATGAAGCAAATGATAGAGTTTCCCTATATATAATATGTTTCATGATTTATGTTCAAAAAGCCGTATCCTCTTCGAGTGATCCCTGTTCACCACTTCCCAGGTTGTATCATTTTATTGGGGCGTGATCCTTGGCTACATGGGGTGTCAGGTTTAATAGCTTTTGGCTAGCGCCCTCCCCTGAACAGAGATATTGACAAATGGGAAGAACCACCCACGGAGGGCTGAACAGTTCAGTTGGTAGAGGACCAATACAGTATTCTGGAGGTCACAGGTTCAAATCTTGCTCCAGTCAATTTCTTTGTTCATCTTTAAAATTGTAACTAAATTTATTTAACAAAAACATCCTCTGAGACACCCATGGAGATGCCAGCAGCACATAACCTCTGTTCTCCCTCGGTTAATTAGCTCTTCAATTTGTTGGAGCTCTGTAACATTCTTTATGCTTTGGTTCTGCATTTCCCAAATACGATCGGCCAATTTACTCATTTTGATCTCAGATGTACAGGATAGAAATATTGTAGGGATCTGCAGGTTTTTCAGATTCTCATTTTCCTGATACTCGTTGTTTGCCTGCGTGAGTAACACTCTGTGTATTTGAGTTGACTCAGTTCGACAGAATAAACAATCACAAGTTCCGCATCGAGCCGCTGTACCTCCTCTCTGTCTCAGGCAGATGCCATCCCGGGCCAAGTCATTGGCTCACTTGTAGACCCAACAGTGTTTGTACGTTGCTCAGAGCAGAGATAAAAACGTGTCCTCTTTCTGAATGGTGCAGATGTTCAGCGGCAATTACGACCAGGAGACTGAGGTCTCCAACTACTTTGCCACTATATGGATGTGCAAGGCGATCCGCGTTGTGCCCATGATATGGATGGGCGACTTCCCTGCCATGAGACTTGATGTCTTGGGCTTACCAGGTAAATCTGCTTCATAATTGACAGTTTGTTTGAAGAGGCAAAGCTTACACAAACAGAGGATTGGCAACACAACCTCCGTAGATAAAAATTAAAAGACATTAATGATGAATGTGCATTTAATTCTTAATTTTTGCCAGTCTTGCTTAGTACCAGTCAGTGTTGGAGTCTAGTCCTCAAATTCGAGTACAGAGTATTCCCAGTACTTCCATGATTGTTGGCATACCGCCCAGAGCCAAACGTACACATATGTGCATTTGGATGCCACCCACAGGGAAAGCAAAAATCATTCTCACAAGCAGAAAAAATGTCAACTTATAGCATGCTTGTCAAAAAACAAACTCTTGACAAAAAGGAATAGCAGCCAGCGTGTCTACAAAAATGGACGTTGACTTTTTCCCACGATGCACTGTTGGTGAAAAAGGATTCACCCCATAACAGAAGAAAGATTCTTATTGCCGTATCAAGATGCTCCAACAACAGAGAAATCATGCGCGAAAGATGTAATCCCTTTTTCTTTTACAGATGTGTCCAACGTGGAGCAGGAAATAGGCTTCACCTGCATCCACCGCCAGTACCAGGGGTCAGGCGGCTTCACCTTTGTCATGCCAGACAAGAAGTTCCCCTCAGATGGCTTTGTGACCGGCATCCGCTTCATGGCCGTCCGGCGAGGCTCTCTCCGAGTGATCATCTTCCGACCGATCGACCAGGAGGCCAAGAAATACAAGATCGTAGGGCGCAGATACATCAAGATCAAGAAGGCGGATGTAGGTCGCAGCTGAGTTCCTTTGAAATGTTTAAGAATATCTGTGAAAGTTCACTGAACTTCTTTCGTTTAAACATATAAAGGTCACACTTGTATTGGTTTTTCTTCCTTGGGGTTTTAGGTGGAAGTGGAAGTCAAGTTTAAACAGCACAAGAAGAGGAGAAAGCAAAAGAAGTGGATCACCGTCAAGAAGGGCGACATGCTCGGCCTGTCCTTCACCCGCTCGGTCCTGTACAAAGGCATCGACAGCAATGACGTCACCGACGTTGTCTACTCCAGGAACGTCCAGATCTCCAACTTCCGCAAGCTGCGGTCTGGCCGGGCCATCACGTTCAGTGCGGTGGCAAAGCGCAGCTACTCCATTGTCGCCCTGTTCAAAGGTAGGCAGGCAGACAGCACATCTCGATCCAGTGTGCCCAGTGTGCTGACAGCCAGTCATCAACGGCAGTCTGGGCGTTACACAGTCATTTTGGGACTGGTGACCTGTTCTTGCTCATGAAATTTTCAGCATTGTATTTGAGTCAAGTCCTCTCGCAGGTCTTGAACTGGTCTTATCTTAGGACTTGTGGCTGGACATGTCAAAGACCCATGACCAGACTATGCCCGTGCTGAAACCCCCCCCCCCCCGTATCCTATGGCTAGCATCAACACCCTGCAATCCTTGCCTCCAGATTTCTGCTCGCGGTTGATCCCGTCACAAGTCCAGTCACATTTTTTTTACAAGACCAGTCAGAAGTAATAAGCGAGATGAACCATGACAGGGGAAGGCCTGAGTCACATTTCCCTGGAAAGCTCCCGACTTGTCTGAAATCTTTATGACCTGGAGTGGAATGGCTTGACTGCAACACTGAAATTTGTTTTTCCACAAATTAGTAATTTTTTCATGTAAGACTTCATAAACTTGAATCCGTCTACCATGAAACAGAGACAGCATATATGCCCCAGCAAATTCATGCTTTGAGACTTAAGTGCATGTAGGTGAAAAACGCCTGAATTGATATTGGTTTGCAAGTTTTTATTGCAGCAATTTTTGCAAGATTTTGAGAACTCTAAATACGTGACTGGTTTTGTGCTAGTTTGGGCAGAATTTTCTCCATGACTCGTATTGCCTGACACTGAACTGTAAATCCACCCTTAAAAAAAAATGTTTTCACATTGTGCTGTGCTGAGAATTCAAAGAAATAAGAATCTCCAAGCTTGGAAGGACGGACTAGCAATATATATATATCTTCATTTTTCAGGGCACATTGTGGAAACTTTAATTTCTTCCCCTGAAAAAAATTATGTAGTATGAAAACTAATCAGTTTTCTCTTTTGTTTTAAAAATTTCAGCCAAGGAACCAAGTTTATGTGTGCCGCCAGGTGAGACTGTAGTCGTTTGCTTTTTTCAAGCTCTCGATGAAGTCTGGAATGAGCTGAAGCAGTGATGCTTCTTCAGGCTGTTTCCTTTTTTCCTGTAATGTGTCGCCAGCATTGCCCACGGTGGCCCGAGATTAAGAACTTAAATAGTTTCAGCACCTTCAAATGCTTGAAGAAATCCTGAAGTGTAGGAATGAGAGCTTTGACGTGACTAAGAAGAGGAGTTTGACTTCTCACTCAGGGACGAGATTTCTCAGCTTTTTATCTGATTTCTGCTTTTTTGGGTTTTGGATTTCAGCTTTTTTTCCTCACTGGCTGTGTACAAAAGGATAGGAGATTGTCACAGTTCAGCTTCTTATGCCGTTTTTGGCTGTTTTCAGCTATTTTTATCATTGGTCAATCTCATCTCTGCTCTCTATTTTTAAGATTTCCAAATTTCTGACCCCCTAGTGTTGATACTTAAGAGAGTTTTATACAATTACTTTTTTGCACAATTTATATTGAAAAAGGTGCAAAATTAGTGTGATAGGTGGTCATCTGTATAGGAACCCATGCCTTGATAGCTACAATCAAAAACCAAGAAAAGTGACAGTGTTTGATTGCTGTCGTTGCTACAACCTCTCTCCTTCGTGTTTTATCTGATTTTTGTTCATCCTGGAATCTAAACCCCACTGAAGTTTGGCTGACTACAGAAACCAACCCTTCTAGGCCGGTCTTTAATTTAGCAAGGCTTGTTGAGATGGCTCGTTCCTTACTGATGTTGACCGTTTGCCTGTTGGTTTCTCTCGTCCCAATCTAGTGGATGCCCAGAACCCCCTGGGCTTGGAGAATGGTCAGTTCCCATCCGACAGCATCACCACCTCCTCCGTCTATGTCAGCAACCAGCCGGACCAGGATTTTGGCCCCAACTCCTGCCGCCTCAACTTAGTGGGTAGCCACAACGGGGCCTGGGTGGCAGCCAAGGATGACGACAAGCCCTGGATCCAGGTGGACGCCGGTTCTGTGTCGGTCTTCACCGGCCTGGTCACCCAGGGCCGTCACGGCCTGCTTAACTGGTGGACCACCAAATACCAAGTTGCCACCTCCCATAACGAGGAAAAGTGGCAGGATGTGCTGGACTGCAATAATCGCCAGGTACTCTCAGTTTAAAATAAATTCATTGGTTTATCTTCAAGCAAACTTCAATTCTGCATTTTGATTGGTCTATCCATGGCAACAAACAGTGTGACATATAACTATATTGCATGGTTCATATCAAACCCCGTGTAATGCTCTATCCCAACTCCGTGCGTCTCGCTATTCTTATGCGCAATGCAAAATGCACAGCTGCAAAGTTTACTGTGCGTTTGCGCGCATGGGCCCCTTATCTTAAGTGCACGTCAAGTTTACTTGAAGAGAAATTCGTTCTCATGCTCGCTCACGTGGAGCACGGAATAATGTAGGGCGTCTGTGTCCTGTATACCAGGAGGCCTTAAATTATTCCGTGTTCCACTCGCATCCATGTGATAACTTATGTTATCAGGTTTATTTGCATACTATTTATAAGTTGAATAATACAGAAGTTGACAAAACTGAATTGATAAAAGGATGGGAGAGGTCAGACAAATTGCCGAAGCTTGTACTGGGTCTGCCCCCTGAAGGAAAATACACGTAATTTATATAATTCTCAGGAAAATAATAATAATACAAAAGTGTGAAGGTCACCACTTCAGTGTTTGAAATGAAATATAGGTTATAGAGCACTGAAGTGAATATTGTCACACGCGCAACGATGCATGTGAGGGCATTAGCATGAGAATCGGCGCATGAAACCAACGCGCACACACTTCATTTGTTTACACTACACTTCAAAATGACGTTTCTAGTTGGTACTCTACTCTAGGTTTAATGATTAGTAGGTTTATCACAGATTGGTTGATGTGTGGGATTGTAGGTTTGTTGATTGTTGTGGGTAATCGGTTTATTAATACTGACTAGTTAATTGTCAATCATTTTAGAAGTTTGTTGGTTTATTGCTTTGGCTTATTTTCAGTATTGGTTGATCAGAGATAGATTTATTGGTTTTGGGTGTGAAGGTTTATCATTGGTTTATTGACTTACTGGTTGATTGACTTACTCATAGTTTTGGTTGATCAGTGATAGATTTGTTGGTTTTGGGTGTGAAGGTTTATCGTTTATTGTTCATTGGTTTTATTGATTTACTGGTTTATATGTTTACTGGGCAATTATTTTAAAGGTCTTTGTTACTTCGGTGATTAATGGGCATCTCTGTTTAAAGGTTTATTGGTTTTGGGTTTATTGACTAGTCATTTCTTTGTGTACATAAAATGCAGCCATCTATTTCTTGATAATTAACACCGTTTTGTTTTTGAGGTGAAACTCATTTATAGTTAAGTCTTGTTACCAAATTTCATAATTGTCTTTTTCATTTGCCCCGAAAAGGCTGTTTAATTGTCCAATCTGGAAAAAAGTCAGTTTTATGATAACTTGTACAACTCTTGCGATATTTAAAGTGCGATTGTTTTGGTTAACATTTGCCGTGTCACTTTGGCAGACATTTGATGCCAACACTGACAGCGACACCGAAGTAACCAGATTTTTTGGCTCTGCCTATAACGGACAATACCTGCGCATCAACCTTCTGGAATGGGTGGGCCGACCGGCTTTACGCTTTGAAGTTCTTGGAGAATTTGGTACGTTGAATTTTTTTCTCATTGTCCTGATTTGCACAGAGCTTGATCGTGCACATGTTGCCGTGTGATGCGCGAGTTTGCGTGGGCATAAATTGGGGGGGGATGGGTGTATATATCCCCCACTTTTTGAGCAAAGGGGGGCGGGCCGTTGAATCGTCCACTCCACTTTTTTGGTGGTGAGCACAACAATTAAAGCGGATTGCAAAGAATTTTCAGGAGTTCCCAACCGAAAATATTTGCAATATCACTATAAGGGAAAAACAATTTTTGAATGCCATAAATATGCCATTCTGATGTAAGATTCTGCATGAATTTGATGCACATTAAAGATGTACATCTTTATCATGAATGTCGCCCCCTATATAGTGCATATGGTGTGGCCCCCCCCACTTTTCAAATGGCCAGGTAAGTCACCCCCCCCCTTTCCCCATCCTCCATCCCACCCCCACCCCCCTAATTTCTAGCACAGATTGATGCCGCTGCGCAGCCGCTTCCCATCGGAGTCCATGTACGATTTCCAAGTCACAGCCTAGTGATTCAGACACGGCCTAACTTTCCAGTTGTCTGCCGTAGCCGCCGCCAGTCAGTCTGAGCTTGGTTTTTTTTGGCACAAAACAGATGTTCTTTGAACGGAGTCCTGTCATGCGGCTCTGTTCTTGGCAACTTGGTGTGTTCCGCCGGAGTGAAGCAAGTCCCAACTCTCATTGCTCCCCGACTATTGCCCGTTGTCTAATTGGTTTCTTGATCCTCAACAATTTCCCTTCGAAACTAGTACTCTTAGATTCATTAGGTACTTAGTCCGCTCTATGCACCAGCACTCCCAGCTATGAGAGAAAATGCACTTTTCATTGGTTTGCTCTGAAGATGTCACGTGTCAACCTTGTACCCTGCAGAAACTGCTGTCACTGAGTACGGCCCGTCGTGCATCGACAGAGAATTCATTGACAACCAGAACTACATCCTGCTTGCGGCTGGAATGTTGTTCCAGAGTAACGGTTACATCACAGGTTTGTTAACAAAAGACCTGTCTTTGAACTCAGTCCTATCTCACATGATATCTGCTACTGTATACTCTGCTTTATTTTCTACAATAGACTATGTTAATATCTCATGCAATGTCAATGTACTATGCTATCACTCATACTATGCACATGTACTATGCTATATCTCATACTATATGCTATGCTAATATCACATATACTGTGCTATGTCTGATACTGTGTACTATGCTATCACTCATGCTATATACATGCACTATGCTATATCTCATACTATATGCTATGCTAATATCACATATACTGTGCTATGTCTCATACTGTGTACTTTGCTATACTTCATACTTCTCACATATAACAAGTGAGGTATACTTGCCCAATCATTGGCTGTTTGCCCTTGGAGAATGCTGCCTGTTCCTTTAAACTTCAGACAAGGTAGCAGCACGACAATATTGCTTATAAATGAAGTTATCATAGATTGGGTGACGACAGGATTGAATTCCCCTCTTACGTGATTATAAGGAGAGATGAATAATACAAATTATACATCGTTAGAAAGAGAAATTAATTGGAGAACTCAAAACGGATAAATGATGAACTTTGTTGTTTTGGCTACTTTCTTTGTATTTCGTGGGAAGAGGTCATATATGGGGATCCAGGAAAGATCACAAGCTTGCCAATTGGGGATACTAATGTATGACGTGATGGGTTTGGCCTCAACTAAATAGAGACCACAGAAGACAGAAATAATATCAATTTATAATCGAATCAAATTAGAATGTGTCATTTCACAATGATAATCTTTGATCTCTCCGAACCAAGTCTGTATGCTAATGTCGTAAGTTACACGTGTTCACGTTGTGTTATGACCCAGAGGCATCTTGTACTTAACAGTAAAACGGTTATCAGAACAGCAATTCTGAAGATGAAACCTTTTGAGACAATTTTTGAGCATTTCCCCTGCATCCTGACGGGTAACCGTTTTACCTTTTCAGAGTGGAATTTCTTCCCCAAGAATGACCACGCCTTCAAGGCTGGTGTGTGGCGAGTAGACCCCGAAGACCCCACCCGCTACATGCACGTGGGCAGCAGCGACATCCCAGGCCATACGCCCAATGAGCTGGCTACCTACCGGCTGGACAGCCTTGCTCGTATCCCGTTCAGGTTTGTCGGCAAAACTGTTCAAAAGAAATTGATGAAAAAATTGAACTATACTAAAAACAGTGAATTTTTTTTTTCAGTTGCACTTTATTTTTACACTTTTGTCAGTAAAGGAATTAAACAATTCAGAAATAAGAAACAAATTTCAAACAAAGTTTTGTTTTGTAGCAGTTCAACTGGTAAACATTGATCAATGGACAAAGATGTGACAAAATCACTAAGCGGAAATTAAGAGGAATTTTTTATCCTTTCAGACTTAAGTTTGGCTAGCTGACAGTACTGAAAGGTGTGGAGTTCCAAAATATTCCCACGAGGTGTTCAGTATTGTAGTCGAGACCATCACTAAACCAGATACAGGGCCAGTCACAGGCAATGAACAATGACAAA